CCTGTTCTTCCTACAATCTAAAAGGCAAGACCCTCAAAACGTGGGGATCAGGAGAGCAAAACACCAGGCACCCGTCCTGAGTGTCAAAGATCTTCTAGGATCTTCTGGGGGGGAGAAGCAAAGCCAGCTTCCTTCGGCAGCGCCTTCTGACTGGCAGGCCCTCTTGCTCCTGGGCTTGATGGGGCCGGGTTGGTTTTCCCCTTGCCATGATGCTCCTCTGGAGAGCCATCCGATTACTAGCCTCTGGTGCTCTGCTTAAAGGACTGGACCCGTGCCCACCGCCCCGGGGAGCTTTCCGAGGAGTGGGATACTCCTTATGTCAGGGTGGGAAGAAGCAAGTCTCCTGCAACTGCTTCATGCACCTGGTGGGCAGGTAAGAGGCCACCATGGTCTATATCGTAACACATGTGCCCCGGGACTGTTTCTGTTGCAACAGACGTAACCCGGTCGGCCTCTGGAAGGGTTTAGCAGCGATCTGCACACAGGTTCCTCAACTCCACTCAAGAAACCACCAGCGACACTTGAAGAAAACCATTTAGTATTTTAAATAAGAAACTGGTTATTTGTATAGCATGGAAATGTTTTCTAGAACCTGAGTGATACTTCCTCCTGGATAGCTAATTATGACATAGTACATAGGAGGCCGGACTCTCGCAGCTTTGATCCTGCAGGAGAATCTGAAGATTTTCATGCTTGGCTTCCTTGTTTTGATGAGGCTCATTCTGCAAGGTCAAATATTGTAATCCCATTAACAGCCTGTTTAAATTTGCAGCTTTGTTCTGAACGTTTCTTATTTGCTTAATATTAAATAAAGAAGGTGCCTAAGAGGCGTTTGCTTTGATTTTAATGTTGTGCATGTCCGTTCTTCTTCAGGGTCTCTGCATCACACATCTGGGCCATGAACTTGCATGGAGCCACTTGTCATGAAGACTCCTATGGCCAGGGCCTGAGCTGAAGATGCATCATTCCTACAGGACCCCGAGGGCGTGGAATGGGCTTCCCCGGGAGGTGGTTGAGGCCTCACTGGTGAGGGTGTCCAAGGACAGGCTGGACGTGCACACGGTGGGCATGTCGTGAGCGGAGCCGGCTGGAGCCGGGGGTCAGACTAGATGGCCCATGAGGCCCCTTCTGACTCGCACTGTTTCTATGTTACTGATCTTCAGGTGGTTGGCACTTGGGTAACACAGCTCGGAAACCCAGCATCCACTTTCTTTGGCTCAATGGAAGACAGGCAGGATGCAAGTGAAGTAAACAGGTGAAGATGTGGCTTTTTTATTTTGGAGGTATAGAGAGCATTGTTGAAGTGTGGAACCCCTACTGCAGATGAGCTGCTCGAGCATTATAGTCCTCATGGAGGAGAGTCTTCTCCAGATTAGTTGGGAATGCCACATCCCGAGGAGCCTCTCAGTCCCGTTGAAGTGGCAGGTTTCCTCCAGGGGCCTTGCCTTCCCAGTCGGGGTGGGAGGGAGACCCTGCTGTGCTGCTGCTTGCAACCAAGCACGCAGACAGGTGGGACACAGCCAAGTGTAGAATTCCCTTCGTCTGAGGTTGAGACCCATCTTGGGAAGTTTGCACTACATGATTTCTGCCCTGAACAGATGCCACACCTGCTCTTTTATTTATTTATTTATTTATTTATTAAAACATTTTTATGCCGCCCCATTCGCCGAAGCCTCGGGGCGGCTTACAACATAGATAAAACAAGTTAAAATCCATATAAAATAATCTTAATTAAAACTCACATTATAAAATAAGCCGCCCTGGCCAGATAAAATTCAATTGTATTTAGCATTTAAAATGTTGCTTAAATAAAAAGGTCTTAGCCTGGCGCCGAAAAACAAATAACGACGGCGCCAGGCGGACCTCTCTGGGGAGCGCATTCCATAACTTAGGCGCCACCGCTGAGAAAGCCCTTCTCCGAGTAGCCACCCTCCTAATTTCTCTCACGGAGGGCTCCCGGAGAAGGGCCTCTCCCGCCGATCTCAGGGGGCGACTGGGCAAATATGGATGTAAGCGCTCCTTCAGGTAACCAGGACCCAAGCCGTTTAGGGCTTTATAGGTCATTACCAACACCTTGAATTGGGCCCGGACTTCAATGGGGAGCCAGTGAAGCTGACGGAGAACTGGTGTCATGTGAACATAACGTCCAGTCCCCGTCAGCAGCCTGGCAGCTCTATTCTGAACCAATTGAAGTATCCGGACCGTCTTCAAGGGTAGCCCCACGTAGAGCGCGTTACAGAAGTCAAGACGGGAAGTCACCAGCGCATGAGTCACTGTTGCAAGGCAGTCGTACTCCAGGTAGGGGCGCAGCTGATGAATCAGCCGAAGCTGGAGGAAAGCGCTCCTCGCCGCTGTTGTCACCTGAGCTTCAAGTGAAAGCTCCGGGTCGAGGAGCACTCCCAAGCTGCGGACCTTGTCCCTAGGAGGGAGTGCAACCCCATTCAGGACAAGGTTCAGGTCACCTTCTCCGAAGCCCGAACCGCCAACCAACAGGACCTCCGTCTTGTCTGGATTGAGCTTCAGTTTATTGGCCCTCATCCAGCCCATTACCTCGGCCAGGCACCGGTTCAGTACAGCCACTGCCTCACCTGGATTGGTGGAAAACGAGAGGTAGAGCTGGGTATCATCAGCATACTGATGGGTCCGCAGCCCACACCTCCTGATGACCTCTCCCAGCGGTTTCATGTAGATATTGAACAGTAAAGGGGACAAAATGGAACCCTGCGGTACCCCATGGCAAAGCTGCCATGGCGCAGAGCCATAGTCCCCCAACACCACCTTCTGGAATCGGTCGTTGAGATAGGAGCGGAACCACCGCAAAGCGGTGCCTCCGACCCCCAATCCCGCCAGCCTATCCAGAAGGATACCATGGTCGATGGTATCGAAAGCCGCTGAGAGGTCCAGGAGAACCAACAGGGACGCACTCCCCCTGTCCTTCTCCCTGCACAGGTCATCGTACAGGGCGACCAAGGCAGATTCAGTACCGTACCCGGGTCTGAAGCCGGACTGAAATGGGTCCAGATAATCAGTTTCATCCAAGAGTGCTTGGAGTTGTCCCGCCACCACTCGCTCTAACACCTTGCCCAGAAACGGGATGTTGGCCACTGGTCTATAGTTAGCGGCCATCCCTGGATCCAGTGACGCCTTCTTCAGGACCGGTCGGACTACCGCCTCCTTTAAAGGAGCAGGCACCCGACCCTCCCTCAGAGAAGCGTTAACCACTTCCAAGATCCAGGTTCCAATCCCGTGCTTGGAATCCTTTATTAACCAAGACGGGCAAGGGTCCAGAAGGCAAGTGGTAGGACGTACTCGTCCAAGCACCTTGTCCACATCATCGGGCCGCAATAACTGAAATTCATCCAATAATTCTGGACCAGACGGTAGCGTTGGTGTCTCCCTTAAAACCTCTGAATCAATAGTGGAATCCAGCTCGTGACGAATCTGAGCGATTTTCTCCCTAAAATGCTCGGCAAAGTCGTCACAGCGGGCCTTTGAGGGTGGAATCAGCTCTTCCTTTGGCCCTGGGTGAACCAGGCCTTGCACCACTCGAAAGAGCTCCGCCGGACGGCATTGTGAGGAGGCAATGGAAGCGGAGAAGTGTCTCTTTTTCGCCGCCCTCACCGCCACAGCATAGGCCCGATAGTGGGCTCTTAAGTGTGTTCGGTCAGATTCATCACGTGATTTCCTCCACCTACGCTCTAGCCGTCTCCCAACCTGCTTCATTGCCCTCAATTCTGGAGTGTACCAAGGGGAAGAGCGGGCTCTGCCCGATGGGAGAGGACGCTTAGGAGCGATCGTGTCTACAGCCCTGGTCATCTCCCCATTCCACAGTTCAACCAGAGCCTCGACAGGAGCACCCGTCTTGTCAGCCGGAAACTCCCCCAGAGCCTTCAGGAATCCTTCTGGATCCATCCGGCTCCGGGGGCGGACCCACACAATCGGGTCTGCACCCTTGCAGAGGGAGATGTCGCTCTCGAGCACAAACCTCACTAGGAAGTGATCTGACCATGACAGGGGAGTCAAGCATAAATTCCTCACCCTCAGACCACCCTCTTCCTGCCCCGTCGAGAAAACCAGGTCCAGAGTGTGTCCACGTTCATGGGTCGGGCCGGTGACATGTTGAGACAGCCCCATGGCCGTCATGGAAGCCATGAAGTCCTGAGCCGCCCCGGTCAAACTAGCCTCGGCATGGATATTGAAGTCCCCCAGGACCAGCATCCTGGGGGTCCTCAACACCAGGTCCGAGACCGTTTCCGTCAGCTCAGGCAGGGAGACTGTTGGGCAGAAGGGTGCACAGTACACCAACAGAATCCCCAATCTGTCTCGGTCGCCCAACACCAAGTAGAGACACTCCAGCCCTGGTCTCGAAGGGACAGGAAGTCCCGTGAGAGTGATGGAAGCCCGGTAAACCAAAGCGACCCCCCCTCCCCTCCCCTCCGGCCGTGAACAGTGCTGGACCATATACCCGGGCGGGCACAATTGAGAGAGGGCAACATCCCCCCCCTCTCCCGCCCAGGTCTCCGTTATACAGGCCAGGTCGGCCCCCTCATCCACAATCAAGTCATGGATGAGGGCAGATTTGTTATTGGCCGACCTGGCATTAAACAACAGCACCGTCAGGCCCGAGGGGCGACTGACAAGACTCCCTGGCACCTTCTGGCTGGGAGCAAAACCAGAAGTAGGGACAGGTGTCAGCCATCTGTCCCTCCTTCTTCTATGCAGACACGTTACATCTCTTCATCACAGATCATGTCTGCGGCCTTGGAGATCCAGCCGGAAGCTGTTCAAGGCACTTCTTCTGAAATGGTCTCCTTGAATTAGCAGAACAGGTATACTAGAATCGGGCAGGGGCGTTGTATTTACCAAGACAGAGCAAGCTGCTAGTTGTTACCACTTTTGTGTGAATATAATTCTGTAGTGGAAAAATAAGTATATGGGGTGTTGCATAATCTCTGTTTCAATCTCTACGCTTATGAGACTTAATGAAAGGATGCCACATCCTTAATTTAGTCCTTTATTAGAAAATCTATATACAAGAAGTTCAACATTGGCTATAAAAAAATCCACAGTCCTAGAAGTTGTGCTTCTGGAGTGTTGCAGCCCAAATATTTGATTTTCTGTTCTTCATTGAGACTCAAAAACCTTGGAGTTTGCTGAAAATAGTAAAACCAGTTTTAAGTTACAATAACTGCATTGGTATTTTGGCAGCTTACTACCTCCTTAGAGCTTAATGACTGAATGTTTACTTTTTGAGAAATTACTGAATAGCTCTAGAGACTTCAAAGAGTTTATCACATTGAAATATCTGTTTCTATGGTTACGCAGAATTAAACTCTCACATTTGATTAAAGTTATGTGAATATTCACGATCAAGATGCTAGATATGGGCACAAAGGACCCCCTTCACACCAATTTGGGACGCTTTGTCCCATGCACTGAGGATTAAGTTCTGTTTAATACCACACAAAAGGAACCATTTACACTTCACACGAGCCTAAGGAGACTGCCTCACATCAGCAAGCTTTAAAGCTTTTGCAGATTTAATTCTGTTAATATTCAGCTTGGCTTTTTTCAAAGTGAGGAGGGTCACCTGAAGTTTACTAGCTTAGGTTTAAAGGAAAGCTTTTAAAAGACATCAGTTGAACTGAAAGTTACAAATATACGCTAGTGAATTCCTGCCTCTTAACTGAAGGAGCAATCCTATGCAAGTTTAGGCAGAAAAAACATATAGCTGGCCAAGAATGACAGGCCTTTGGGAATTGTAGCCCCCCTCCCCCCTCTTTTTTTTGCATAACTGGCAAAGGTTTGAAAATCATTTAACAGAAAACAAGTATTTAAAAATACAGGCCAGTGGCCAGTTAAATACTACAGTCATGTAGGACTAGGGAATGCAGCAGTAGGGGGAAATAGATTCAAGAAAAAGCAACCCGCCAAACTAGCTTTAAAGGCATCTTAGACATTGTAGATTTGAGACTAACCACACCACAGTGGTCAGAGAATTTCATTTCTTGGAGACCACTACTGAAAATGTCTCTCTTCTTGGCCCACCAACCGAAGAGATCTTAACAGACAGTCCGATGAGCAGGTTTTCTGAGCCAGATCTGAATACCCAGACAGGTTTATATGGATTCAGGCAGTCCTTCAAGTATCTTAGTACCAACCCATTTAAGGCTTCATAGATCAAGAACACTGCTTTGAATTGGTCCCAGAAATGTACCAATAACCAATGAAAGGCAAGGAAATGGTCTAACATGTTCTCCTAAGCCTCTGCAAAGAAGACTGCTAACCACCTTAAAGAGTGGTACCTCAACGCCACCACAAAGCACAACAAAAATTTCTTCCTTGTGCTTGTGCTCTGAGCAGGCCTTCCACCATCTGTATTCTAGCCGCAGACCCCAGCATTTCATTGCCCTTCTCAAAATATCAAGCAGTCAAAACCGTTCTACAATTTGGTTGACCATGTTGGGGAGGGATTATATCAGCATTCAGGATCTCCTTCCATTTCGAGAAAACTAAGGCCCAAAATGCTGGAAACTCTCCCACATTGTCTGAAAATCTGAATTCATCAGCCTTCCAGGATGGGTCATCGTACTCAATCCTCCACCCTTGCAGAAGTTATAGAGCTTGATGCTCCAGCTTATGATCCCCTCTGGATGTTAGAGCACCCCAGGACCATCATCCGTGGGTCATCAGCACCACAGGTAAGACCTCTACGAGCTTGGCCAGCGTCTACGGCTCTTGCCACATTTCCCCAGCACCAGGTACAAGCACTCAAAACACACTTTCCCTGCTGCTCAAGTCACGCCTGGCGCTGAACTTAATCCCCTTGTGGACACATTCACAGGAGATCTGCACCTTCTTCCTCGGACCAGGTCTCAGTCTCACAAGCCAGGTTGGCATGTTCTTTTAGTACACGATCATTGCTCTTTCCCCTTCGCCAGCCTGACACTAAAAGCAGCAGATCGAGGCCTGGGAAGCCTGCAGTTAACTTACAGGTGCTGTTGAGGCTGGTGGACAAATCAGAAGTGGAAACAGTGCAACGAGGTCTTGCTTCCCTTACCTGACACACACCCAAACAGTCTGCCCTCCGTTCCTCCTGTGGTGCTTCAGGTTTTTATCCCAAGCAGAGCACCCATCATACTTTTCCCTTTCTCCCCACAAAAAGTTTAAAGATTAATTAGGCAATGGCAGCCTATTACCCGGCATTTCTAAAGCCCAGAAACACAAAGAGAGGGATTGGCAGAGCTTACCTGTCCTCCACTGTTTTGTTAGAAGGGTAAAATACTTTGAATGAAAAGCCACTCCTTGGAAAAGATCCCTAGTATGAGGGAATAAAAGTGTTTACAAAAGAATTTCAGTGTTTAACCAACACCATTTTCTTTCAGTAGCTGTCCTTCATTCATCTCACACACACACCATAGGAAGAAAACAAGTCAGAAGGGGCCTCCCAGGCCATCTAGTCTGACCCCTGGCTCCAGCTGGCTCTGCTCATGTAATCCCCAGTGTGTGATTGTCCAATGTTTAAGCATTAGTTATATATTACACATCGCCTGTCAGCCCTGTCTCCAAGAACAAAATGGTTCCAGTTAAGTTGTACAGGGGTGCAGAATTAACATTGCTCAAGCCCTGTAAGCTCAAAAACCAATTTCCCCATTTAATAGTAATTAGCAGCAGCAAACCCTACTGCAAAGACAACTGCCAGGTGTACATGTTGCTGCTTCTGTTTCCATGTTTACACTTGTGCAGTTGTCTCTATTGTCCTGTTGTGGACGGGTTTTGCACACCTGCGTTTGCCCCAGAAATACGGTGCAAGCTCTGACGGAGAGATCCTCCTCCAAAATGGCAATGCAAGACATGCTTCTGCACTAGAGAAGGTGCAGATGGTATCTGCGAATCTGGCAGCTGTTCTTGCAGAAACTACACCGCTCTTGCTCCCCAGTGTGAAGATCTCTTGTACTTTGGCTGGTATCTGAACAGCTATTTTAGGTGCACTCAAGTGATTCAGCATGCGGCACAGAATACTATTTTTTTCTCTGCAAGCAGCAGAATTTTCACCTACCACCTCATTACCACAATTTTCCCCGTTTCAAAAAAAGGAAGCCACTGTTCAAGAAAGTCAAGTGCAAAACAAAACTTTGTATGATTCCAGGGCACAATTTTTAGATCCCATATTTGCATAAATTTTATACTTCAGGAGGAAATGTGTTCTTCATTAGTACTTCTGCAGCATGCATATTGTATACACCTGTTCAAAAATTTAAGCAGAAAATGGACTGGAGCGAGTGCAATGTACAAATACCACACCAAAACAGTGTGTGCAGATGTTAAAACGGGCATTGCTATGGAAATAGAATATCTATATCCAAATAAACAAAAGTGTATTACTTTCAGATGAATATAGGATTTTAAAAAGCATTGTAAAAAGCCAATTTCAAGAAAAAGGATAATTGCCTTTCACAATTAACATTGAGTTTTCTTATGTAAAAAAACCCTAAATGTAAATATGCACAATTTCCTCAGAATCTTGAAGGGAAGGAGCACAAATGACGTACACTCCATACACAAGTAATAACAGTTTAAACAAAGTGAGCTATCATTTCTATATACACTGTGTACACATGCAAATATCGCTGTGTGGCACAGATCTTCATCATGTTTTACGGGAAAAGGTAAGACCTAACTTACAGGATTTATGCACAGACAGTCGGTGTTGGTCACAGTGAATGGGTCGTATTTGTCGGCGAAGACAATCAGATCTGGCAGAGGGTAGGTTCTCAAGGTGTAGTCATAGGCCCAATAGACAGGGCTGACACTGAGGGGCAAAGGAGTCAGGTGGCCTTGGGACAGGATGGTCTTCACAAACTGCAAGGCAAAATACAGGAACGTGCGATTACTCTGGTTTCCCTACCAAGGAAAACGAAAGGCAAAACTTTCCACATGTCTACTCTGAGGTAAGTAATAGTGAATTAAATAGAACCTACTCCCAGGAAGACTGAATGCAAGATTAAATCCTAATTATATTTTCCTCATTTGTTGTTAATTAGCACGTTTGAAACAGCTCTGATTGCTTTGTTCCAAATTCTACACCTGGGGACACTGAGCTGAATTCCTACAGTCCTAAACAGACCTGTGGTAAACTTCAGGCACTGTAGCTGAGATTCCCATGGAATTATGGTATCTGAACGAAACTGATTAGCAGGTCTTTGCAAAAAAACAGACATCACCAGTGCACGGTGAATGCAGAATCTCTTATATGGGAGACCCCCCTCACATGAACCATCCTCCACTGGGAATCCAGTTAGTCATCTGAATGCACATGCCCCTACATGTAGAGAAAAATGTTGGACATCTCGGTATCTCTTAATCCTTTTTGTGACTTTCTCCCTCCCTGAGTGAAACACTTTCATATTTGCTCCCTTTTTCTGTATATTAATGGATCAAAACAGAACCTCAAGAAGATAAAAATTTAATTAGGATAGCCTCTCTATACTAAAAAAGGCAGGACTCTACTTCTAAATCAATTGCAAAAAGAACATGTTAAAATAATAAAAAGCACATAATCCTCAAAGCTTCACCCCAAATGTTGCATGCGGTTTTTTCTTTTTGCCTTACATGGTTAGGAATATCCAAGCCGCTGCAAGGAAAACGGACACAGTTCCGGCACATCTTGTTTACCAAGTCTTCTCGGAAGATGATTATTTCCTGCGTGCAGTATTGGACCCTGGAAACAATGTGCACAAAGTTATTTCTCCAGATTGATTCAAACATCCATGAGGAGCCATTAAGCAAAACAGAAATGTAGGCAAACTGGTACCACATTTTCAGCATATCAGTCTAACCCAAATACAGTATTTATTAAATTTGTGTAAAAGCTACCCGTTAGCTCTCTGGACAGCCACTACAATAAAAAAGGCAATGATAATATTAAAGAATGCAGTTAAAATATTACAATAAATAAACAAGATGAAACATAATGTATACAGTCAGACAAAACGGTAAATTAATCAAATTAATAAATTAAACCTGGTGCCATCAATATAGATGGCTTAAGTTGTGCCATAGGTGTGTCAAAAAAAGAAAAGTTTTTGTCAGGCGTCTAAAGCTCAGCAAAGTGGGCGCCCGACAAATCTCCAGTCACAGGATGTTCCACAATTGGGGTGCCATCACAGAAAAGCGCCCCCCCCCAGCCACCTCCCCCTTAGCCTCCTTAGGGCACTATACATTTACGGATCTCAGAAATCATAGTATGCTGGTATTTTCCCCATTACATTGGGACATTTACCTGCAAGGATTGGTGGTGAAAACAGAAAACGGCACCTGCTTTCTGAATTCTGCTGTAATGTTTTTGGTAAGAGGTGGCCTAAAATAAAGGGAAATGATGTGTGTCAGAAAAGCCTTTGCGCGTCCTTGTGGTAGCACATTTTCAGAAACAATCGGGCTGTAATGCTCATGTCGAAAATATACCTTGGCAAAATGGAGCCTGGGCCAGGGTCTTCAGAGCCAGGAACAAATACGAATCGACTGCTGTAAAGAACAGAACGCACATGCTGCATTTAGTATAATTCATGGGCAAAATGGAAGCTCCAGCAAAGCAAACGCCAGCATTACTCAAATGCCACCGGGTTTCAGGAGTGGGGCCAACAGCCTAAGGCCTGGATGATATCCTGGCCAGGTCTCTCTCCTGCAAGGGCTCATCCACGATAAAGCGGGGTAGAGGGCAGACTCAGTCGGACAAGCAGGGGCAGGACTGTCGGGTGGCGGCTGGGCCAGTTCCAGCTGACGCATGCACCCTGTTCATGCAGCGGGACAGAAACAAGGAGCACGGGCGTTTTGCCTCGCACATGCTCGGTGTGGGTTGACAGAAAGGTTTTTCTAAGTGGGATTAATGTTCCTCCGGGGGGACGCTTTCTAACTGCCAAACATGCAGTACAGCTGTTCCGTTAAGCAGTTTCACGAAAGAAATGCTAACATACCACATACCGTTCATGGATACTGGGATATTCACATATTATGTCTGCAAGGGCTTTCAAGGAACCTAGAGGCACAACAATAAACGGTTTCCTGTGGATCTGTCTACTGCTCTCACTTTGACGAATCACACATTCTGCCCCGGTGCAAAGGTCGGCTGTTAGTGCTGAATAAAATTAGCTCCAGTCGCAGCCAAACTCTTTTCGGACTAGATGCCACGAACAGGTCTGGCCCTCCCTCTTTCCCCCTCCAGCAGACTCGGGCACAACTTTAGAAGCACTGTTCTGTTACTAAAAAATCAACACGTTACAGAACAGTATAAATCAGAGCAGCCTACTCCTTGAGATGTGGGAGAAGCATCCACCCATGTCAAGAGTTGAAGAAGCTTTCCCTCCCTTTACAAACAGATTCTGACTCCACCCTCGGGGTAGCTCTTGCTGCTTGAGGGCTGGGCAGCAGGAATGCCGGAGACTTCAGAACTGGTCTGCTCGCTTTACCTGCCACTCCCTGACTTGGTCAAGGAGCTCTTCCCACATCTGCTCCCGCTCCCACCCCAAAAAACCTTCTGCCCTTTCCAGAACAGGCAGATCCTGGCACTCTGCCTGAAAAACTCCGCTAGGTCACCCTGAAGCTGCCACATATTCTGCCCACTTTTGCCCTTCCACCTCCTCTTCTGAATCAGATGAATCTATCTGGGCAGAGTATAACGTCCAAGAAGAGGGACCCCTCTCTACACCAGCTCTCAAAGTATTATTGCCTCTACAGAGAAGTGTGACTTATCTGCTAATTCATAAATATAGCAATGTGGCTCATTCCAAGTACCTTTCAGCGACTGAACCTGATTTTTCCCGTATGGAGCTGAAGAAAAGTTCCCACAGAAGAAAAAGCAGGTTGGAGGCATGGAGGAGTACCCTAGATGGAGAAACAAGGGCCATTATTCCTGTTCAGATCACACGAAAGATGTGCTGAAACCAAATCCCTGACCCCTCACCAACTAGGCTGCCCTGCATTTTCTCTACTCCCCTCCTGCACCAGATTGGTATGCGCAACTGGCACCGAGCAGATGTGCAGCTGAAAAAAGCCAAAACAGGATAGCACTAAAATGACGGAAGCAAATGAGCACTCGTAGGAAACGGCAATGAATGAAACATTCTAAGCATAAACCCTAGTTCACCCAAAATGCCCTTTCCTCATTTACACGGAACAGAGCAGCCAGCTAGGATGACCGGCACAACCCAGCCCCTGCTGAGTCCAATGAAATCACCAACCAAACACCTGTAGAGGACCTAGAAGCAGGGCGTGAAAGCAACGGCCCTCCCGGTCTGCGTCCCCAGGTGACCCGTTTTTGGAGGAATGCTGCCTCTGCCGTGGAGCCATCACAGTTCCCAAGCCTCATCTCATCCCACAGAGTGGTCCAATCCAGACTCCGACAAGCAGGCAGCCTCCACACGTGTCGGACTCCGAACGCCGGCATCCTCTGTGCCAGCTGGCCTGATGTCTTGTGGAACCATCCCGGAGCCCCCACATCTGCCCACTGCAGCGAATCTTCCATCGTCCTCTGGCAAGAGGAAGCTGCCGCTCCCGCAGCTACGCGGTTCTCCGCAACGCAGGACAGCTATGAAGGAGATCCCGCAACTCCCGCGTGAGGCTTGGAGTGCCTCGGCCCTACAGGGCCAAAACAGGCGCAGCCTGCCTCTCCTCGGCTCCATGTTCAGAGCTGGGCCGGGGAGGAAGGGGTTGCTGCCCAGCGCCACTGCACTTCCACAACGATGGGGGCGCCGCCATGTTTCCCAGCCCTGCCCTTAGCCCAGATATGGAGGTCAGGCGTGATGCAGACTTGCAGCACAAGCACCAGGAAGGGAAGAGCGGCGGGTTGGTGAGGTCCGAGCGTCTGCCAGGCCTTATAACAGCCAGTTGCAGGCATTCATCAAGCCCCAAGCAAAGAAACAAAGATCCCTTTGATCTGACTTGATCCGACCACCAACCAATTTTACGTTCTATTTACTCTTGAGTCGCCTCTTAAAGAAAACTGTGCAACCCCCAACATTTCAGTGTTTCCTTGCAGGGCTCCAGCACAGAGGAACGGAACTACCTGAGAACATAATGCGAAGCTTGTCCAGCACTTCTGCCTGGTCCAGCCAAACGTCTGAGAGGAACACAAACATGGCATCCTCATTTTCCTGCTCCAGCTGTTTAAGTTTGGCAGATGTTTTCACAGAGGTTGAAGAAGGCCCTCCGAAGAAGTTGATGTTTCCATAGTACGCCCTACAGCATAAAATACATTTCAGATCGTTCTTTGTCCAAATTATCCCCTTGATTTGCTATTTATCTTATGCAAGGACTATGGGTTCAAATACAGCCACTTGGAGCAGGCCCTTTCATTTGCCACTGTCACTCTAACACACTCGCCAAGCCATGGAATCACAGAATAGCAGAATTGCAAGGGGCCAGGAAGGCCATCGCGTCCCACGCCCTGCTGATGCAGAACACCAATTTGCACCACCCCACTCAGGTGGCTGCCCAGTTTCCCCTTGGATGTCTCCAGACTGGGAGAGCCTCCCACCTCTCCAGGCAGCTGGTCCCACTGCCATGTTGCTCTGACAGTGAGGAAGCTCTTCCTGATGTCCAGCCTGAATCTGGGTTGTCCCAGCTTGACTTGATTACTCCGTGTCCTGCACTCTGGCATCAGCAAGAAGGGACCTTGGCCTTCCTCTTTGTGACAGCCCTTGAGGTCCTTACAGAGGGATATCATGTCCCCCTCGTCTTCTCAAGGCCGAACATGCCCAGTTCTCTCAGTCTCTCCTCTTAGGGCAGTGTTTCCAAACGCTGGATCATTTTTGTTGCCCTCTGCTGGACCCTTTCTAATGTCGTCCATTAGCATAAAGGTTCTGAAATTCAGATGTTCCTTCTTCATGATACATAATGCAAAATTCATCTCAACGTGGGTTTTAAAAGATAAAAACTACATTCCGGCACCTAGCACCTGCTTTTGGAATGCAAACTCTATGCAGCACACAAATTATACTTTTGAAAGCATCTGCTTCTCCCAACCCGTTCTCCCAAGATTGTGGAATGCACTCCCCAGAGAGGTTCACCTGGCGCTGAGCCTGTATTCTTTTCGGCACCAGGTCAAAACCCTTTCATTCAAGCGTTATTTTAAAAATTAGCATTTTAGGGTTTTAACAGTCACTTTTGATTTGATTTTTGGCCATTATATTGTAGCATTGTTTTTATTGGATTTTGATTTTACTGTTGTAAGCCATCCTGAGATGTTAACAAACAAACCCAACAAAATGTTGCGGCATATTCCTGGTGGGTCTGGGTTACCCAGACCTGTAGCTGAGGGATTTCAAAAAACAAATGTCCTTTGTTTACTTTACATCTCTGTACTACCCAATAGCCAAAGTTCACTAGATAGTGCGCAACAAATTGGTGTTAACAGCCAGTGTGGTGCAGGGGTTAACAGTGCAGGCCTGGGACTGAGGTGATCTAAGTCCTAGTCCTCACTCAGCCATGGAGCCCACTGGATGACTTTGGGCCAATCACAGATTCTCAGCCCAACCTACCTCACTGGGTTGTTGTGCGGATTCAGTTCAGTGGATGAGGAAAATTATGTAAGCCACCTTAGAAACATAGAAACACATCAAAAAAGCGAGCCAGAAGGGGCCTCCCGGGCCATCTAGTCTGACCCCCGGCTCCAGCCAGCTCCGCTCACGACATGCCCGCCATGTGCATGTCCAGCCTGTCCTTGAACACTCCCACCGATGGGGCCTCAACCATGTCGCTTGGAAGTCCATCCCATATCCTAGGGGTCCTAACCCTCAGGAAGTGCTTCCTGACATCCAAGCTGAAGCCTGGTTCCTTGAGCTTTGCCCCACTGGAACGCATCCTGCCCTCCACTGCAGGGAAGAACAGCTCATGGCCCTCCTCCACATGACATTCCTCACATACCTATAAGAGTTCCTTGGAAGGAAAAAAGGCAGGATAGAAATATAATGAAGAGATACAACCTTTAAAAGTGCCACCCGGTATCAAGCTTCTGAATGCTACTTTGAGTAGCACTCAGGCATAAGAAGAACGAGACAGAACTATCTGAACAAATGAAGGTACAATAAATAGAGTCCTTGATTTAGCCTGAGAAGGTCCTCAAGAACAATTTCCGAAAAGCAACTTTTGCTGCAACCTGAAAGGCTTAGGAATATTAGACTGGGACTCTGAACCAGCCTCAGCCGGACCCATGGCGTGAAATTTTACAAATGGACCACACTGCAGGGTTCCTGATAGCTACTGAAAGTGAAGCCCTCCCACCAGCAAGAAGGGCATAACAGGGAACGACACAACACTACGGCTGCTCCATAAGCAAAACTTGCTGTCGGGGAAGAGAAGCCCAAATTGCAACCTGCAACAGGGATCTCAGGCTGTGGACGGCACTGCAGGGCTGGCCACCCAGCGTGCTGCAGGACCGTTACGAGCCGCGCTCTTCCGACCACAGCCCCTTCCAATCTGCAATACAGGAAACATACAGCCATTCCTCTGGAATTTGCATTACTGGGATCATTTTTAAATGTTCCAGACAAAGGTTTTTTTTAAAGTATTCTTCTCTCTGCTGGGAGGAGGAGTAGACTTGCTGTTTTTATGCACCCATGCAATGACTGCTCCGTGTGTGTGGAGGCGGTGGAGGCTCTGCATGGGATCTCAGGGCAGGCGTGCAGACCTGCTCGAGGCACACGGTGGAGCCAGACGGCTCCCACCATGCCCCCAGGTGAATTCAGGGTGCTGGGAGCTCACCCCTCCTTTCCTCCTTTTGCTCCTCTTCCTTCCTGCTGGAAGGCAACAGAGAACAGGGCTCCCCCCGCCCGCCCGGCATGGACAAATCCCAGAGCACCTGCTGCCATCTCGAGACTGGCGTAAGGATGCGGGGCAGGTGCTGGGGCTTGCCCATGGAGGGATGAGTGGCCGCTCTCCCTGGCAGAGGAAGGGAAAAGTGAAATTGGTCCTGCATCTTGCTGTTTGCCGCTTCAAGAGTCCTGCTGGGTTCCTTAGCAGCCAGTCAATTTAAAAAGAAATAAAAGCAATAAAAAGGAACAAAATGCAAGCTGCCCGGCATTCCCGGTGCTCTCCCCAGTTCGTTTGCTCATTTATTGGATTGGCTTTGTACCCTTTCTTGTACGATCCAGAAAAATGGCACTGAAAGGTTTACCGTCACAAGTGAAACCTGACAAATGAAACCAATGCAATTGCAAATACAGTAACAGAGGAAAAACAATATCCAGCCCAGCAGACCCACCCAAGCCCCATTTTAAGAAAGAGGTCTTGACCAGCCGGCAGGACAGCAGAGAGAGGGCAAGGGCCCCCTCCCTCCGCAGGAGGCTTCGCAGCTGAGGAGCAGGTGCCAAGAAGGCCTGCCCAGAGCCAACAGCTGGCACTCCATCGCTGGCTCAGAGGGACAGAGGACTCCCCTCTGCTAATCCCCATCCCAGAGCAGGGGTGGCAGAAGGTTGCCTTCCCAGGTGGTTCCTCCAAGAGGCGGGGCTTGGAGGAAGCCTATCCTTTGCTCCCTGGCGGAATCCCGAGGGCAGGGTGGGCTGCAGCAGGGTGGCGTGCAGGGCTGCACAGGCTGCCATGGCTAGGCCTTTGTCTTAGGGCAGCAAACAGCACGAAATAGTGCGAATAAACGAAAGGTGGTACACCTGGATCTCCTCAACTGACTCCTTGGTGTGAATCAGAAAACGGCTTGGCGAGCCAAGGCACTGACATGGGAGCGCTCTTCAAGTACTTGAAAGGCCAGGACCGTTTCTCGCTCGCCCCCGAGTGCAGAACACGGAGTAACAGGCTACACGTTACAGGAGGCCAGATCCCAGCTAAACATCAGGAAAAATTTCTAGAGCAGTATGACAACGGAACCACTAACCTAGGCGGTTGTGTCCATTACATACCCATGGACTCTCCCCCTTGATGTTCGGAAAGAGAGTATGTCATACCTAGTTGTAGCAGAAGGTTCTGTAGGGGGAAATCCAAAAGCACTGACATGAAATACTTCATCTTCATACCACCCTAGGAAACAAAATTGACACCATCACTGACCAAGCCGAAAAAGTCCTTTTCTTACTCTGCTTTGCATTCATTACTCAGTATTTTAATTATGTAAAGGCTTTTACAAAGCCTTTCCAGATTTTGTTTTCGCTGAAAGAAAGCAATGCACTGTGTTCTCCACCCTGCTACGATGTGAACTTTCCAAAAAATAAAAAATCCTTCTGTGTCACCCCCAAAATGATAGCAACTCAAAGACAGAAGGGATTACTTGCTGAAAAAATAGGATTTTGCATAATGCAAAAATATTATGGCATTATGGTGCTAGAGTACTACATCACTCTTAATTTGAAATAAACTGAAACCAGAAAATCTATTCGTAATATTAAAGGAGCATTTTAAAAAAGGCTATGATGGATGAGTGCCGAACGGCTCTCTTTGGACACATGACTGCCCATGTCCAAACCCTGTCCTTTAATAAGCAACAGGAAAGTAGCACCAGAAGCATCGAAACTTGTGGGGTTCACACCCCTCTTCCATTTCCTGAATGAGACCTGACTTTCTGTATTACCTGAAAAGGGGAAAGAACCGTTGTGAAAACACGGGATGACCACATCACATGGGCGCCCCGTAAAAAACGTGCAACTGACGCACAGCAGTGCCACACTAAAACCCTCATGTGAAAGCCCCTTGGTAAAATTTCACCAACAGTTGCCGTCCTAATCTGTTGGCTCGAAGCTAATGTCCAGCAGAAGAGGAATGGAGACATTCCCCCCTGCCCCCCTGCAGCCCCCCATGCCAAACCAAATCAAGGGACCCCCCAAGCCCATTTGGTTGACACACCAGGAGCTCTAAGGGGAGGGGCGATGGAGGCATCGCAGCATGCAGCACAAGCTCTGCGCCACCAGTTCCGGTTCACGAGCCGCGCTGGCGATTCTTGCTGTGTGAGCTTCCCCACAACAACAGCCTGACATCTTTGTTTTGCCACATCACTCATTCTGGGAATGCCAGACAACTGCCACATTCGCCACGAATAAAATGCGATACGTTAGGGGGCTTGTGGCTTTTGAATCCATTCCTGTTGATGTGTTCGTTACACAGAACTCAGACGAGCAAAAGGTAATTATTCTCAGTTATCCTTTGCATATAGGAAAAACGGTTACAATGCAAATGTCCTTTTGTTTGCACAGATCAAACTGTTTTAAAAAGCGCTTTGAACATGCGATCTTGTGCAAGTTTAATCAGAAGAGGCCCAGAACTCCCAGCATTTCCCAGCCACATCTACCATCAGGGCCCTGAAGCATTAAAATTTACAACGGCCCTGGTCATGCAACGTTTCCACATTATGAACATGTGGGCAGAGACAGCGACATGCTGGCCCAAAGCTTACCAACAGAGTCTACTCATGTGCAAGCTGTACAAGCATCCACGCTGTCGATGTCACCTACATTTTGTTGCGGCATAAACTGTGCATGGCTTCTAGCTAAGAGGACACTGGCCACAGCTTTGGACCAACACACAGGCAGGGCCAGCAGGTGCAGGCGGTTCCACGGCCCGTCCTCATCCATTTCCCAGGAACAGGGGCCAGTCGCAGTATCAGCTAGCTGACTTATGGACCAAGCAGCCTGGAATTTGGTGGAAGACACATCTGACCCGACTAAAAGGAGACGGCCTTAGGAAGAACGTTTTCCAGCTTACCTTCTGTTAAAACAAAACATGACTCTGTATATAAGCCACTGTGGAACTGGTAGAAAGCCGTTAAGGATGATGTCCCTTTCAATTTGGCAGCACTACAGAAACAACCATTAGTATCAAGGCAGATGATCTAGCAGTGGGACGGACCTTCAGGCTTTGCAGCATCTCGTTCCACGATGCAGGTGTGGGGTGGGCGAGAAAACAGGTCTTAACCAGAGCTGTCCTAGAAGTAACCCCACCCAATCGGACTTCCAGGGACCTAACTGGAAAGCACAGTAACCTCATGGTTCAACAACCAAAGTATGAATACACAATGGACTAGTTAAGCACATGCACTGGCCTCAGAGCAGGCTCTTCCCAATCCCCTGGGAATAACTACAAAGAAGAGATTAGAAGCTGCGACTCGTGCTTTCAATGCTGTAGTTAACTTAACCATGGTTTAGAGAAACAGGCCAGCTTCATAAACTACAGTCGCTGGGATTTCCAAGAATGCTTTCCTGAATGGCTCATTTTTTAAAACAGGCTTTTTGGTTTTTTTATAGCACCTATTACTACTATTATTTTTGACTATATGGAGACTGGAGACTGTGGAACAGTAAAACGAACAATCCTTTCCGCAAATGTCAAGCGCTTCTGTCGTAGTGAATGCATGAACAGGCTCTGAATGCACCTTATTGCCTTATTCTTCCGCATTATTTGCATCTTCTTCTGAAATCCCCTCTACACACAGCTGAGCCACAGGTCAGTGGCAGAGCACACGTTCTGCATGCGGAACGCCCAAGCGCAATCCGCAGCATCTCCACATAGGGCTGAAACCCTGCAGAGCTGCTGCCGCTGTTGTAAGGAGCTGTCCAGTCGCCCCCGACTTATGGCCACCCTATGAAGGAGCGCCCTCCAGAAGGCCCTGTGCGGCACAGCCCTGCTCAGCCCCTGCACATTCAGGCTGGGCTTGAGTCAGCGTCGGCAGTGCTGGGAAAGATGGGCCACTGGCCTGACACCATATAAGGCAACTTCCTCTTGATGCAGAACCTATGGAAAGAAGAGGTGCCTTATATGGTGTCAGACAACGAACCTTCTGACTCACACCTGCACGGCAAACTCTTCCCCATGGGCTCTTTCCCTGCTCAGAGGATGCTGAGGCCTTCCTCAAAGGATGCACGCTACGACTCAGCTACACCCCTCTCTCACAAAGGGTTAATGATGCATGGAACAACTCCTGTGAGATATACAAATGATAGTTCTTGCTGTCAGTGAAGTAGCAATGCAGGAACACAAGGCAAATAAATCTGTTTCTCGGCAGCTCTCCAGAAGGCTGTGGATACACTCTGAACAAGCCGACGGTCAGTCGGATGGGCAAAATGCAGGTGGGACACGCTTGCTGTGGAAGACCCGCTTCCAGGTCTTACTTATGTTGCCCCTGCAGTTTGACTGACTATCAGAATTGTGTGTTACTTTTTAAAGGTGTTATTATATGCAAAGTACGATCTGCAACAAAATCTTGCAATGGGAAAGCGCACCTGTTCCAGGCAGTCAGCCAGGCCCTCTTCCAGGATACTCCATTCCATTCCCTCTGCCAACCGCTTTGGTTTTCCCCCCAGCAAACTGGCAACCAAACACCCACCAACCGTCAGAAGCAGAGGGAACGCTGGAACAATACTGTGCAACACACAATGAACAGATCCCAGGCTACAGGCTTGCTCCCTAAAACACATCAGAGAGGAAATGGATTGTGTGGGGAAAAGGTAAACTTCTCACTCGCTGGGTGAAACTAAAAGAAAGCAAAAAAGGATTAAAGTAAAACCTCTACGATAGTTTATCTATTAATAGGCAACAAGACTAGATGCAACCAAGTTGAAAATCAAGGAAGGAAATACAAGGAAGGATGTGTTTCTCTCCCTGATAAATCCCTCTTCTTACAGAAGACAAATCTGAAGGATATTGCTTTGCTAAGATCCAGCTGGACAACTCCCGTAGGATCTTCCAAGAAAAACTTTCCCTTAAAGCAAAGATAAAAATAAGTAAGACCAGGCTGTCCAGTTTCAGTGTTCCCCGTGAGGCCTTATCACTGTGGAACTTCACACCTGCTTGTGCCGGCACCCAGACTAGCTGAATGTCCTGTCAAAGACCCTTCCCTCTCCCCGCCGCCATCACACCCACCCAAGTAACTTGCACCCCTGTCGAACCTCAAGCAGCACGGCCAAGGGCCAACCAACGCAGCACAGCTCACCTCCTTCAGCTGAGTAATCATCCCAAGCACGATCACTTCACCGACTCTGGCAGAACTGCCCAAGAGCGTTTCTATCGTTTTGAGCTAGAACCAGAGACAGCAAGTTAAGGCCTGCGTGTGCCAAGCCAAGAAGGAGGCAGCGTCATCTGTGATCAGGCATATTAGCCACACCCCAGAGATGATTTTTGTCCTTTAAAACAGACCTTAATGCAGTATCATAAACTGCTTCTAAGTCTTCTCAGGCAAAGGACAAGCTGCTGTCCGAGAAACGCAAGGAAAAATCTCAGTAGGGAAGATCAACCGCAATCCAGCAGCTGACGAAGGAACACGGGAGGGTCACCCTGCCACGTTCGAGCACTGGCCCCCCACCTGATGTCCCCCAGATGTGCTGGAGCACAAATCCCAGCATTCCCAGCCAGCAAGGGCCAATGCATCTGGAGGGCACCTGACGGGGGGGGTAATTGCGCCCATCCAGCGTCCATCCCCTTGAAGGCCATGCAACATTAACATGCTATCGTACCTGGAATTTACTTCGGCTTTCCTCTGGGTGTGTACCAAGAGCTGGTGGCGTGAACAATTCATGCCTATGGATTCTCTGCAAGGTGGTTAACGTAAGACAATTAAAAAGAAAATTACAGAAGGTGCGGCTAAGAAAAAATGCTTCATGCAGTACCCACCCTCCAGTTCTCCATCAACTGCTGCCATGGACCTCATGTACAAGGACTGTGGTAAGAACCTCATCAGACTCCACACACAGGGAGACATTTTGGGCCTCGACAAACCTTTCGAAAATGCGCAAATTGTGGTAAAAGAAGATGCTACAAAGCTAATATTTGGTAGCAAACTGCAATTGCTCATTCAACATATAATTAATCTATGGATGTGGTTTCCATGAATTTGAAAGCCCACAGAACACATTCGTGCAGGAAGAGTAGGAATGCCTATGCTAAGCTTTTCACTATTGCCATCAATGGGACAGCCATGTTCAGCAGTACTGTATGTCTGAATACCAGTCACTGGGGGTGGGCATGGGGGGGTGGAGGGCAGAAGGAGCTAGCAATTGGTTCCATGCCCTGCTGCGGCCAGCCTGGAATGAAGTGAACGGAACAGGACCCCGACCATGTGAATCCACAGGCTGACCCAATAGGTGTCTTTCTGTAATTCTTACCCCACAGGTCAGATGGACTCCATCCCATAAAAACGTAGGCCATGCTACATCAGTTCATCTTTAAGGTGCTAGATGATACTTTTTTTTTTTTTTTTTTTTTGCTGTAAAACTATAGACTAGCCCAGCTTCCTCTCTGATAGTAGGGGAATTCTTTAAGCTTACAGGGAAGGGAATTCTACCATGCTCAAGGGGGCTTCCCTCTAGTAAGCATTTCAAATTGTTGCCTAGGAATATTGTAAGCAAATAAAACTGAAACAGTGATCATAGCTTTCCTACAAATCTTTCTCATAGCAAAGCAGATGTTTGGTTCTAGTTAAGCATGAGATGAGCTCAATCGTCTCCTTTTCCCACCTGCTGTAGGATGATGTAACGTTCACGAAACAATTCTGCTTTATCCCTGGCAGAGCCAAATAGACTGGGTGCAGGGTAACTGGTCATCGAGAGACTGCAAGAAAATTAGAGATGGGTATAAACTGAATCCTGAAGGAAAGTATGAGAACTGCCTCTGATAATCTGATGAATGAAAGAACTAGGCAACTTTGTGCTATTATTATTACATTTATAGCCCACGTTCCTTCTGCTTTCAAGGAACCCAAAGCAGCTTATGCCATTCCCTTCCACTACATCTTTTCAAAGTCAAAACCAAGATGAGCTGAAGGGTTAGAGAAGATTATTCCAAAAGGTGAAATGAGAAGAGATACAAATTCTTCAAAAATTACATAGAAAGAACTTACGGTAGAAATTTCTTTCTTTCAGAATTGTAAATGTATCTCGGAATATCGAATGCTCCAATAATGTTGAAACTATGTTCCCTATAGAAAAAACAAATGCATAAACACAGTTGGAAAATACTTATGACATTTTTAAACCGCCCAATAGGTAAAGCTCTATGGCTGACAATTAAAATCACAACTATTAAAACTGTGCAGAACAACATAATGCGCTACAATACAGTTCCCACGTATCACTGTAAGACTCTGCTTTGCCTTTACAAGGAAATCATTTTTAATCAATCTTGGTGAAAGGACTATGTGAGATTGTCTGGTAACTGACACAGTCCCTCTGGCACATCAGGAAGCTGAACTGCTGTGACCCATTTTGCTCACATGTGAAGTGTTCACCTCCGGTTCCAACTCAATGTTAATAAAAGCTCCACTGTTACCCATGAACACAACCTTATTTTTAACCTAACATGTATTAACCTTAAATGTTAATAAAAGAAGGGAGTGCTGATATGCTCAGCCTTCCCCACCGTGCCACTCTAGATTCTCCCCAGCAGCGATGGGGACTGTCACCCTCAGGTCTTGCTTCCTGTGTAAACAGAAGGCTGGACAAGAAGGACCCACGCCTGATCCAGGACGGCTCTTTTATGTCCTCCTCCTCCTACGTTGTTATGAAATTTTAAACCACACTGCTTTTATCTAACATTATTTTACTGGCATTTCTTATTGTAACGGCTGCCCAGAGAGTGCGATGCTAGTGAGCGGCTCTCCAATGAATTAAATAAATACATGTGCTGAAGGGTTCTGCATGTGTGTCTGAGAAGCCCTGCCTTTGCCGAATTCTGCGGCTTAGCCCTCTGAATCAGTGCTAGTGTTCATTCACCGTCTTGCAGCTTCTTTGCGTGTGCAGACCTCGCGGATCCCCCTCTGCTTCACGGTGGGGCAGGCTCCGCTGCATCCCCGGTGGCTGAGCCACCCTCCGAGCATTAGGCTGAGCCTGCAACGAAACCTGCTCGAAGTGGGTAGGCTGATTTAGAGCCCCACTGATTTAGGAGGCCTGGACACGCAGAGCAGGACCTCTGCTGCGGAAGAGCAGCGCCAACGCATCGGGGGTGATGCGCCAGACCACCGGGAGCACAACAGAGGTGGGGCTCGTGGGCCTGCCTTCGCTGCCCCTCCCTGCAGCACACACACAGCAGAGGGAAATCCTGGGCAGCTTGAGTCAGCGTGCCTCCCGAGCCCGTCGTGTGCAGAAAAGGGAACACCTCTCACCGAATCAGGTGGTCTCTCCTTCCCAATCTAGATTACTTGTAAAGGAAGAAAACAGAATGGCCATGACATTCCTCCCTCTGAGCAAGTGGATTAAAAAAAAAAAAAACAGGTGGGAAAATGTAACATGACATCCAAACCTGGACTGCAGTTATTGCTCACACATCTGTTTTAAACCAGGATTGCTGTTGCCTTTCAAATCCTGGATTGTCTGGATGCAATAGCCTTAATTCTGAGTTCGGATGCCACAAAATCTTTCCCCTTTCAGGTTTGTTTACTAGCTCATGCAAAGGAAGGAATGAGCCGGCAGCTTATTCATATTGTGGTTTAATAAGCCAGAAATCCTGGCTTGAACTCACATGGTAAGAGAGAAAGAGGAGGTTAACATTTAGTTATGCAGTGCTGTTCACAAATAATGCTTTGAAACTTGCTTTCTGAGCACTAATCGTTAAAACTCTGTGGTATAGAGCACACCGCCTTCTAAATGTGCCATTTTAACGTCAGCACAAGTTTACAACCACCCACCCTCCGAGACATCTAAAGAAAGATTGAATGTTAATGAGTTTTAGATCTGAAGCATCAACAGGGAGGACAGAAAACAGAGCAATTAACTGAATTAGATTGCAGAAAATCTCCTGGTGCTCGGTTTATGTCTCTAAATGAATTCATGCAAACAAACCTGGTTTCATCTAAGGTCTGGCCGCACTCCAGCACGGCTGTCTCCACCATGGACTTTTCAATCATATTACATGACACTGAAAAGAACAATACAGAAAATTAAAATGGTAGCTCATGCAATTACAGAGAACAAAAAGCACTTTACAAAGCACATTGAATCACTTCAAAAGAGATCACGGTAGAATTATAATCTCCCAGGGATCACAGACGCTTTGGGGGTCCTTGTAGAGGTAATGGGTTGCGACTATTAGCCCTTATTTTTAGGGAGTGATCCTATAAGCCCTAGGCAGCACTTGAGGGCCCACAGGAATTTTCAGAATCCCAGATCCAAGGCTGGAGACGGTGCCCCAACCTCAGAACTGGACATCCAAAATCCACTTCCTCCTCCCCATAGCAGTTAGGACAGAAAGAACTGCACCAGCTGCTCCCCAAGGCCAGGAACACAACCTCAAAGAAGGGTAAGAGGAAATGTTTCAAAGGAAGGGTGAGTGACTGGGGAGTTTCCTAAAGCCGTTCCAGCCCCCTTTCTTCTCCTCTAAGACCTTCCAGCTGGCTGAGTGAAAAAGCTTATTAAGCAAAAATGCAGCAGGATGATGGGTGGGAGGAAGAAAATACCGTCCCGCCCGCTACTCCCTCTGCATGGGATGTCCTAAGCCTCCAAAATCAGAGGCTAACCAGCATCACAACAGGACCGACCCCTGTCAAGGTGAGCGTATGTGGTTTGATCGTATGCCCAACCTCCTTTAAACGTGCTTTTGGGTAGTGCCTGCATTTAAAAGAAATATGAACAAACAAGAGAGCTGATCCAGCTGCAAGGAAACAGTGAAAGAGATTTTGTATGATAGCTATTTCTAACAAATATACTGCGAATCCAGTGTATCATTCCACTTTCAAATAACCAAGGCAGAATGGCAGCCCTATGGGAAAAGAAGTCTCTCCGGCAAAAAATATACTAATCTTGCATGGATGTCCGTTATGCATACAATGCGATCCATAACAGCATGAACATACCTGTTATCATGAACACCACAATTACACAAGAATTCCCACCAAAAAATAAAAAGTTCTCAAACCATCTAAACTAATCCAAGATCTACTTACAAGGCTGTTTTTCAATAGCATCAATTATATTTTCTAGCATATCTTCCAGTTCCACTTCATTAACTTTTTGAAGGACTTCTACCAAATACTTAGTAGACTCACTGAATAAAGAAACAAGAAGAAAAAGATTAGCAACACCTTTTAATTCAGATCACGTCCTTGAAGGATTTTCATGCCCACTCCTGGGATGCTGGCACATGGCCAGAACTCTGAACATAAGAAGGGCACATGCTGAGTCACTGAGTCCAGCACCATTTTCAGCCACTGCCAGCCAGGTGACTGGGGAAGCTCCCAGAATTCTGGAGAGTCACGGCAAGCCATCTCGTGTCATGCGCCGCCACATCTTGCATTTACAATTATGTTACTTCCGAAGCAACTTTCCTTGGGTAGAGAGAGCCAGGGAAGGCGCTTGTGCTTGCACACACATACGTGCACACCCTGAATCCCACAGCAGATCACTGTGAGGGAGTAGCAATATAGATGTCCCCCACATCATGGTGCTGCTGCTGCTGATCATTTTGCCTCCCTTTAATCTCACCCCACAGGACTTTCCCAGGGAAAGGGGGCACAGGAGGGGTCCCTTCTGCCCACCCTTTCTTCCTTGCAGCATCTGGCTCTTGCTTTCTTGCCAAACAGCTGTTCTGATGGGCTGGCCAGAGCCTGGCTCCAGAGGTGGCAGCAGGAAATGAACACAGAGGACACCCAAATGGCCCCGGAGGGTGACATGCAGCCCACAGGCCAGCGAGTTCCTTCGGGGTCAAAGGGTGTGTCAAAGACAGAAGTGTCCACTCTCTTACCAGTCTGGCCTGGTATGGCAGGATGGATAAAGACATGTAATCCAGTCAGATTGTCTTGAACATACTCTCACAGGTAAGAGCCCCCTGATTTGCATCAGCCCAAGTTCTATCTCTGCCATGCAGCACAATTTTATAAAGACACACATGGAACTTGTGTCTTAACTACATGTGCAGAGGATATGCCAGGGTGGGACATTGGTTAGAGGACTAGGGAGATCTGGGTTCCAGACCCTACTGGGTCTAGATCACTGAATGGCTCTGAAACAGTTATGGGCACATTTCACACAATCACAGTGAGTAAAACAAACCACCATAGGGTTTGGTTGCTGCTCATCCAAACAAGCCATGTTGCCCAGATAACACTGTAAGCTGCTCCAGTGTGAGTAATTGGGGAACGCTAACCAGAATGTGCCCAGCACATGTGACAGCTGCAATAAGCCATGGTGGCTTGTTCCAGCTGCAATGATTGTGTGAATGGAGCCACTGACTCACAGTCTGGTTTACCTCATAAGGTTGGTATAAGGATAACGTGGAAAGAACTATTATAGAAACACAGAAACAGAGCGACTCAGAAGGGGCCTCTGGGGCCATCTAGTCTGACCCCCGGCTCCAGCCGGCTCTGCTCACGACATGCCCACCATGTGGACGTCCAGCCTATCCTTGAACACCCGCACCGATGGGGCCTCAACCACCTCTCGTGGAAGCCCATTCCACACCTCGGGGTCCTAACTGCCAGGAAGTGCTTCAGGAAATGCTTATCTATTACATTTCTATACCCCCTGTAGCCAAAGTTCTCTGAACAGAACTATGTGAGCCTTGGTTTCCTTGCAAGAGGAAAATAGATGGAATATCTATGTAATAGATACATAAATAGGATTGCATTGCCTCATCAAAACCACCTACAAATTAGCCATAAGATAGCAATAGTGAATTTTATTATAGTTATAATAAAAGTTAACAATCCTGAACACAATGAATTTAGAGCGATCGATGTCTGAGAAAGCATGCTTAGCCATTGCACTGCTGGAAAAGGGATCCATCACGCCCTCAACTCAGAAGCCCCACCAGGTTCAGCAGTATTTAGTCACGGATGTGTACAGGACTGACTGAAATCCCATTGTACACAAGTATCTGAGCGCAGATCTGACTGAACCCCATAGGTCTTTTTCCAGAGGGATAACAACAAAGGGCCTAGAAGCAAAACTGAAGCTGAGGTATTCTGGGCACATCATGAGAAGACCAGACCCCTGGAGAAGACCATCATGCCAGGGGAACCAGAAGGCAGGCGGATCCAGGCCGTAAGGAAGCCACTTCCACTTCTTCCTTTTTTTTCTCCTCCTATATTATTTATTTACTTATTTTATACTGATAATTTTAATTTTATATTATTATGTTTGTAACTCAGTGTATTTTTTGTATTTCTGTATTTAATGGTACTTTATTATGTTCTATTGTATTTCAATGTATCTTATTGTGTTGTAAGCTGCCCCGAGGCTTCGGCAAGGGGCGGCATAGAAATGTTATAATAATAATAATATTAATAATAATAATAATAAAAAGTAAGTTCAGGGGCCTGAGCAGCGCCTGGGCGGCGTTTCTTCCCCACGGTTGCCATAAATCTGAGATGACCTGAAGCATCTTGGAGCATTTTGCATGTGCAGCCTGAAAGGAGCCCCGCGACTTCCAGCATCGCCCGGTCAGCCAGACTGGGAGTCGCAGGGCTTTGTCTTTAAAGACTCCCGATTTATTCCGGCCTTCATACAGTTTTCATCTGCTTTGTCCAGCTGCCATCCCATTTTTTCCTCTCGCAAGGGACCCAAGCCGGTTTCCACGGCCCTCCTCCTCCGCCTCCTCATGTCCTCCTCACAACAACCCTGCGAAGTAGGCCAGGGACTGGGGAGCTGCACGGCGGGGCCGGGCCTTGTCCGGCGGCGAACGTGCGTCAGCGGCTTTGCAAGAACAAAGGCGGGATATAAATTTAACAAATAAACCCGCATCTCTCCAGCCGCCCCCCCGCCGCCGCCGCCGCCCAGCACTCCAACGGCCGGGCCACGGAGGCTCTCCCGAAGCCCGAATAAAAGCGCCGGAGCCGAGACGCTCCCGGGGCCGCTGCCGGCAGCAGTCGCCCCGCTGCACGTGGGGACGCGGCTCGCGTGTAGCGGGCGCGCGGCCTCCGCGAGGGCGCCCCGCCCGCCCTTCCGCTACTCACGCGCGGAGGAGCAGCCCGCGCAGCTGGAAGGCCGCGCTCACGCGGGCCCGCAGCCTCTCCGCCGCCATCTTGCGCGCCCGCGGCCCGGGCCAGCCCGCCCAGGCCGGCGAGGGGCCGCCCTCCGCGGGGCGGGGAAGGCTGGCTGGCTGGCTGGCCGGCCGGCCGGCCCTCGGCGCCTCGGCTCCCCCCGCCGCGGCGCTGGCCCCCGGGGGGTCACCGTGGCCCCCGCCCTGCGTGCGGCCCCGTGAGAGGGCCCCGCTGCTCGAGGCGCCCCGGGCGGGCTCAGGCCTTCCTGGCCTTCGCCTCGGAGCTGATCGCCGTTTCCAGCCCCTTCACTGCTGCGCTGCCAAGTCTCAGTCTTCAGATTTCGGCGCCCAGGGGCTTTCTGAGCCGAGAGATCCAGAATCTTCCCCAACTGCCATTTCTTCACTGTTACTATTGAAAACAAACCTTTTTATTGGCCCAACATGTTAAGGTTTAATGGCTTTTTTAACTGGGGTTTGATGGAGGATGTGATGCTGTGCTTTGACTGTAGGACCATCCTAAGACTTTCTGTAATAAGACGGGATAGAAAAGCTTTAAATAAATAGAAGTAAAGTTCTGTAATTCATCTGCAGAAAAAAAAAATCTTCACATTCAGCTGCAATTCTGTGTTTGCACTTTCTTCTTTCCTCAAGAATGATTTTCATGCCTTCCTTCTGTTCGATCCCAGCTATTCAAGTATACTGTAACCTCGGTTTTATTACCGCTGACCTCCTTGAGTTCTCCATCCAGCTGTTGCACCTGCAACAAGGGAGCGGCCGGGACAACTCCCAGCATTCCTCACTTAGCCACCGCTGGCTGGGGAATGCCGGGAACTGTAGGACGTTCCTGCCTAGCGGGTGCAGAATCGCGCTCGGCGATCTCCAGCAGAGCCGCTCTAGGCGCGCCTCCGCAGAAGGGGATAGGGCCGCGGCGGCACCGCCCCCTCTCGCGCCCCGCCCCCCGGGCCGCGCTGTCTCCAGGCAACGGCAGGGCGGGGCGGGGCGCGGGCGCGCGTCGGAAGGCGGCAGAGCGCAGCGCCGTTGCTGAGGCGACGAGGCCAAGGACGGCCCCTCCTGGCGTCAAGATGGCGGCGGGCCTTCCTCCCCCCTTGCCGGAGTCGTTCTCCGTGGCCGAGGAACGGAGCGGGCATTGCGCCGTGGTGGATGGGAACTGTCTTTATGTGTGGGGGGGATACGTGGTAAGGACGGGAAGACGACGGGAAGCGGGCGACGAAGGGGCGCCGAGCAGGCCCCGCGGGCGGCCCGGGGAGAGGCGGGAGCGCGCCTTGCCCTGCGGCGGCTCGCGGGCGGCTGTCCCCGCCGCGGGCCGAAGTGGGCGGGGAAAAAGGCGCGGGGGCGCGCGCCGCGGCGGGTGAGGAGGGGGCGGAGGCCTCGCTCGGCCGCTGATTGGTCGCTGTCCGCGAGTCCCTCCGGCGGGGGCGGTGCGCGTGCCGCGCGACGTCCCCTCCCCCCCCCGAACGGCCGGGCGGCTCCCGGCGCTCCGGTTTTGAAACGGGAAACCCAGTTGCGGAGACGTTTCCCGAAGGTGTTGGGCAGATTCCAGCCCGAGGGCCGCTTAGCCGCGTGGACCGGATTCGCACCGACCGAGCAGCCGTGCTTGCCTTGAGCCGTGGGTGGCTGTGGCCTGCGAGCCCTGCCCTGTTGACCGAGAGAAACCCCGAAGTTCACAAAGCAGCAACAAAGCGTTTATTTATTTACAGGTGTCTCTGTTCTGCTCCGTGTGGAGATTTAGGAGCAGTGGACATAAAAGCGTAAACAAGTAACTATAGAATGGTGTGCTATAAGCAAGCTCAATAAAATAGGATGGATCAAAGGGGTTGGTTTAGCTCAGGAGAGCTTCCTGAAGCAGAGGAGTTTGCAGCAAGAACTGAAAACAGTCCCAGGCTTTGGGGCCTGCCCCACTGCAAGAGGTCCACTTGGCAGTGGAGTCGCTACCCTGGACAGTCTTCTCTGGGTGGACTTCAAATGGCTTTCAGGCCACCCAGAACAGTAACTAGGCAATTTGGGTGAGGGAGGAAGTGCTCTCTCCCTAGTTTAGGGCATTATACACTTAGTAGCAAAACTTTAAATCAAGCATTCTCTTCCTAGGTTGTGTTTAACCCATGATTGATTGTACTGCACTGAGAAGGGTTGGACCTACTGAATGGCGCCTTCTAGCTCTACAGTTTTTTGATTTTAAACCATAGTGCACTAACCTGGCAATTCAACAACAGTCCATGCTCTTAAGTTGTTGTGTCAAGCAGGCTATTTAAATGAATAGGACTTAAAAGCGCCTTGGCTAACTGATGTTAGTCCAACTTACTTGTATTTGACCCACTGCTGTAACTTTCTCTTCCCAGTGGTCCTAAAGGCAATTAAATTGCCAGCTCATATCTTCTCCCTCCATAGCCTCTAAAGTCTCTGACTGTGCAGACTTTCTGACCACAACCTGAAGTCAGCCTTTCTTCCCCCTTCCATCGCTTTTTGTAACATCCTGCTTAATGAAGAGATTAGGAGAACTCTAAAGCTTGGAGATTTTTTTCTGGTATTTTTTTTCAGTTGGCCTAATAAAGATATTACAATATATGAATTTTGGATTTTTTTCATATAGCTATGGTGGCTGCCCTTGTTTTTATAATACCTGGTTTCTTTGCCATGAGAATGCAGCCCTTTGCCTCCTGAGATTGGAGAGTATTCCCTCCCCCTAGAGGGACAGTGGGGGTGGAATTGGGCCTTGGTGTAAATCCTTGCCAAATCACAAAGCTAATCTTGTGCCAGTTGCACCACCTAAAAGTGCAGGGATAAGATTTGGGAGCGGCCTTGGAGGAGTGTAACAGCTCTACACAGCTACATGGCAGACAAAAGTCTGAGCTGTTTAGCTTCCCTGTCTCTTATACCCGAAGGAATCTTTGCCTGTTGAACTTCTGCCTGTTCTATATCTAGGTAACCAGAGGCAAGGAAATGTAGGGCAGACATTTGCTACTAAAACTCCCTGTTTTAGGCATAAGGGAGCCAGGGAGGGGGAGAAAGAAGAGGACTGGAGTCTCTATCGGACATCATGTCTTAGCCTATCATTTACAATTTCAAAACTGTGCAGTCTAGAATAAACCTTTCAGAATTACAGTGTTTGGTCAGAATCACATTAACGCCTCTAAAGGAGCAACCATGTGCATGTTTAGACAGAGAAAAGACATGCGGCTCCCAGCATTTTCCAGATAGCTGTGTCACAGGACTTTGTTGCCTCTAAACAAGTGTAGGATTGCAGGGCAAGTGGCTATCACTTACTTAGAGGGAGAGTGGAGGGGGAGCCACAGGGGGCTTGTCTCTGAGCTGGGGGAGCGGAGGGAGGGGGAATCCTGCTGCTGCTTTACTCTCCCTTTGTTCTGCAGCTTGACAGAACAGCTGACAGTCGAGGGAGCCACCGCTTTTGCAGGGCTGGCGGTGGAAGGCTTGGCATGCAGCGGGAGAGGCTGCTTTTGAATGATTTCCCTTGTAAAAAGATGTCCGCAAGGAAACAATTAGTGCATCCGGGTGGGGCTAGGTCTGTCCATTCTTTGCTGTGCTGGTTTTCTATTTGCTGTGAGGCCCTTTTTTGTACAGGGGCATTAAAAAAATGAAAACCCTACCTGCAGTTTGACTAGGTACAGTCCGTTCTGTGCTGTCCTCAATGCCTGTGCAAACCAGACCCTCAAAAGGACAGTGTGTATCGCTTCATCTTGCAATAAACCAGTTTGCAAGACCAAAATTCCTGTTAGAGCAAGCCCTGCATTTTTCCACACAGTCCTAAAAGTTGAAAACTTTTGGGGTTCCTCCCCAGGGAGACAAATATGGTCTCATTGCTGCTGGGTTTGGAGGAAGAAAAGCCACTGAAGATAAATTTGTTCATGTCTGTATTTGGTCCTTGAATAAATTTTGTTGCTGCTTTTTAAAAAAAACAAGCTGTGATATTTTTGTGTGTTTTATGATCTTGTAAGCCACTTTGTAAGGACTGCAGTGCTTGAACAGTACAGTAAAATAGTTTGAATTATAAGAAAGGTAAATAAATCAGTTAATTCAGGCCCTTTAGTAACTTGCTGCTTCCTAAAATCTGCATGTTAAAATGAAGATGTGTTGTTACCCTAGTCAGAATATATCGCCAAAACATTTCATGTTATATGGAGCGATGTGGAGTTTGTTTTTCAGGAAGGCTCTTGAAATCCAACCAAACTAATAACTGCAAATAAAGATTTCATTTCTCAGCCCAGTGCTTCAGATGTGTTGGCTTGGTTGGGGATAATGTGAGTCATAATCCAACATGACTAGAAGGCACCTGGTTGGAGAAAGCATACTGATATTTCCTTTTCATCATCAGTGTTTGGAAGCTAGAACTGTTGCTTGTCAGAAACTTGGCAAGGCGATCCTAAAAAAAAAGGCAAAGCAGAGCAACAGTGTCTGGAATAAGGAACATCTGTTGTTATCTCTCTAGGGCTTTTCTGGAATTTCAGAGAAGGGGTCTCTGACAACGGTGACCTCTTCCCATTTGAAAAGCTTCAGAGTGTTTTATTCAGAGGATTCTGTACTAGTAGAATGACTCCCGGCCTGATTTCCCTCCCTTGGCTGTGCTGCCGCCATGAAGGGTCTTTGCAGGTGCATGACTGCCCTCTCACCATGATTCCTCTGGGAGAGGGCCGGTCCCGCAGGCTGACCAGGGGGCAGGTGCTAGGACCTGGATAGGAATATTACCACTCCCACACTACAGTGTGCAAAAACACTCTGGATCTCTAACTCTGTGTGGAAATTGTGCAGGGACGCCTTTGCCAACACAACACTCTTGTCGCTTGCATTTCTAAGCGGCCGAGAAGCCACAGAAAAGGAACGAGGGAAGAGTTACGGTTCTTTTTGAATCATCAGCATGAGTTAGTGTCAGGCAGCGGGTTTCTAAAACATTGCCTTTCTAATGTGCTTGTGCCAATCTTGATGCAAAATAATTGCCACCTCACTCCGCATAGATTCCCTCCACTTTCCCCCAGAATCTTAGTGCCCTGTGTCTGCAGGGCCATGAGATCAGGCATTAAGTGCCCCAGTTAAAGTAAGCATATTGTCCAGGTTCATGGCCACTACTACTAATTTCCTGGTTTCTCCTTCAAAATAGAAACCAGTAAAATACGTATTCCATACAGAACTTTACAGTTGCAACCCCGTACTTGCCTGCCAACACTTGGATTGTGCTTTTAATTGCTTTACTTCTACTCTGCTACTGAGTCAAACATTATTTCTTTTTCCACAAGACACTCAGGTGGAACTCTGAGCTCAGCAGATATTAGGTAGCTAATAAATCTTGATAAGGTAAAATATTGCCATGTGTGTGTGTGATCACTGCCACGTTTCACCAAAACAAATCACTAGTTCAGAAACTAGATTTTGAAATGGAAAGTTGACAGAAGGTGAAGATGTTCTAATGAAATAATTGTGTGCTTTTTATATAGTCAATAGAAGAAAATGAAGTCTACTTACCTAATGATGAACTCTGGATCTATGAAATTGACAGTGGATTATGGTATGTTGATTTTTATAGGATCTCTGTATTGTAAGCTATTATTTTAGTTGGCTCTCTCAGAGCTCTTAATCTCTTTTCATAATGCTGGGTGTGAGAAAAATTGTGAGCCTAATACCGCAATCATACATTTCATATGCAAAGGTAAATTGGGTGATATTAATTGCCCTTCCACGTGATGTATTTGAAAATGGATATCTACAGTTTTCCCTTCCTGCTTGTTGGGCTATTGTGACCAGTGGGCTGAGTTTTTCACTGGGGTAAGGTAAAGTGTCGCAGAGCTCTTACCCAAAGTTTTCTCCAATCTCCAAACTTTACCTGCTTCCAAGAGATGGTTTTTCTGAGCAGTGGAGCAGAAGAGTAGCAATTTCCACATGCTCTTACAGCACAGGGCCAGAAGAAAAGAGCATTTGTTCTTGTAGCAGGTTACCCAGTCGTAATAGTGTCAGTTTGATTTTTACTTGGAGGAGCCATTGCCTGTCTTGGTTGTTCTGTGTCCATTACTCTCTGAGCACAATTCTTTTATTCTTTGTGTTTGCCGGACTGCAGGTCGATGCACCTCATGGAAGGGGAGTTGCCTCCATCCATGTCTGGTAGTTGTGGCGCTTGCCTTCGTGGAAAGCTATACCTCTTCGGCGGATGTGATGACAAAGGATACAGCAATGGGGTACTGGATCCCTTTCACTTTAGAAACTTTGAAAAATAACCAAGCCTACTAAGGATTAGAACATTCTGCAGCAAGCATTTATATCGATCAAGACATCTAAGGAGTGAGATTGTTGTTTTAGCACAGATGTAGCCTTAAAACTGTCTTTCCCAACCTGGTGTCCTCCAGTTTTTGGACTACAACTCCTGTAACTTCTAGCCAGTGTGGACAGAACCGTACTGGCTGAGCAGGATAGGAGCTGTAATCTGACACATTTCAAGGGCGGCAGGTTGGGGAAGTTTGCTTTAAAACCTGTGGCCATGACCACAAGAACTGCTCTGACTTGGCCCAAGTGCTTGAACATACTCCATGGGAATGTTGTTTGATTTTTTTCACAGCAGTACTTTGAAACCACCACTTAGTTGCAAATAGGTTTGCTATGTGGTGTGGGGGACGGGATGATTGCGAAAACAAGCTCCAAGCCTCACTGGGAGTGTAATGAATCATGTGGTTCTCTGGGTTCCAGCTACTACATCCAGTCGCCAAGTGCATTCATGCCCATGTGAACAGGATAGCTAGCAAGTTTTGCTCTTAAAGTCAGTCTAGAAGAATTTAAAACTAACTGATTTCAATAACTGTTAGGCTACCATTCAGAATTATTCTGCAGAGCTGTTGCTTAAGGGAGATGTTATTGAAACCAACGTTTGGGAACACCATGGCCATCAAATGCTTAACTAGATTTGGTAACCCTTTAACACTGGGAATCATTTCTGTACAAGCTGTGCCAAATGTAGAGCGAAAGGTTAATGTTACTCTTGTAGAAAGAGTAAAGAGTAACTGATTCCCAGCAGTTGAAACCAGAATGGGTGGGTCTTGCTGAAGCTGATATGACTGATTCCCCCGGGTCCCTGCAGTGGGTTCGCCAGTAGGAACAAGGTTAAACCTATTCCTATCTTCCATTATAAGCTCTGAAGCATGAAACTGAAGACCGCTCCATTTTAACAGTTCTGATAAGGGAATGAAAGCAAAAGCATCTTCATGCCAAGAACTGTCGCCTGAGTGCAGTGGCAGGCTCAGAGTCCTAAGCTCAGTGGAGACACTCCATAACAGAAGCGCTTCTGGTTGTTCACAGTTGACTGTATTGGCAGGGTGGAAACAAGAGGATTCAAACCTTTTCATGTAAAATGGCAAAGGAATGAATTTGATCAGTAGCTCTCCTGAGTTACCGCTTTTGCCAGTTAGCACATTATTTTTCAAGAATATTGCTGTCTGTTGAAAGTGTTCTGATTTTCTTTTAAGCTTTATTATGTTAATTTGCGAACAAGAAATGGAACCTATTTATGGAAAAAAATCACAGACTTTAAAGGTCAGCCTCCTACACCACGTGACAAACTTGCCTGCTGGGTATATAAAGACAGGTAATTATACTGGGAGAGTGTCACAACTGGGGAGATGGCATTAGCTTGCGAATATGACCGACTTGTAATTTTACATAGCTTGACAACTGTTGTCAGTTCTCTTACTTTGCCATGTTTCTTTTCTCTCAGTCACACAAAGGAAAATGTGTTGCTATCAACATCCCTTAAGTTATATGCGAGCCCTGGTGGAGAATAGGTTTGTAGATGGTGATAATGTTATAAGATCATTAAATGACAAGGGCTGAAGTATTAACTGACTTACAAAGATGAAATAATTCAATATTAATACACTTTGTAAAGTTTTTCTCTCTCCTTATTTGATAGAGCATCATTGATCTAAGCTTTTAAAGCTAAAACACCTGATCCTATGACTGTTTGCACATGTAGGTTGAGAGGTGCACACGAGAATAAAAATGTTGATTAGAGGTGGAGTCAAAGCAGTCTGGTGGAATTAGGACAGAACTAAATGATCTCTTAGATGCAGCAGAAATTTTAATTTCAATTCTAATCTTCTCAGGCTAATCTATTTTGGTGGTTATGGCTGCCGGAAACAAAGTGAGCTGAATGACTGTTTTGAAGTTCATGATGCATTTTGGGTAAGGGTTCTGTTACTGTTCCAAATAAAGAGGACCCTGCATTTGATGCAGTATTACCAGCACTTTCATTGCTGTCGTTACCGTTCCTGTTAACCTTCGGTTCATATCCTTTTTCTTTTAGGAAGGTCAGGTGTTCTGGGGATGGCACAACGATGTTCATGTATTCGACACAACTCTGCAGGCTTGGTATCAGCCGACAATTAAAGTAAGTGCTGTGTGAGTTTCGTGGGCACCTGCCCACTTGGCCTGATGTGGTCCAGGCACCACCGTATCCCTTCTTCCTGAGCCCCTTGGGGTGATCGGAGTCCCTGAACTGTGTTTTCCCGTTTGCTTGCAGCAAGGAGTTCCGCCTCAGCCTCGAGCAGCCCATGCCTGCGCAGTCCTGGGAAACAAAGGATTTGTCTTTGGAGGACGGGTTTTGGTTTGTATTCCTCTTGGCCTCCGTCCCTTGAAAAAACAGGGGAAGCAGTGGATTTGCGTGCTGCAAGGAGAACTTGGGAAGCAAAACAGACAGAGGTGCTATCCCTTGGCCTCCCAACCATGTCTGGGGGGGCCATAGGATTCTTCCTGAGCCCCTGCTCCAAGGGCCTGCAGTCTTGGAGCTGGGACTCTGAACACGCTGCCCCGGCCCACCTGCCTCTCAGCTGGTACGAAGAGAACCACTTTAACTGCCTCCGAGGCCAGGATCCATAACTGGGGAGCAGTCAGAGTGGCACGCCAGGGAGGAGAGGAGACTCAGACTCATGGCTAATGCCACATCCAAACAGTGGCCCAGCTCCTTCACTCCCCCTCCCTCTCCCCTGGATAATTAAAAATGAACCCTTGTTGAAATACAGAGTGGGCGCCAGGCAGGGGATCAGCAGAGGTCGCGGCTGCGGCACCCCATTCTTTGCATTGGAGTTTGGGCAGCATAGGACTCCCCCCTAAGGACAGTTTCTTGAAATGAAGGAACTGCTGTGACGGAAGGAATGACATTGTACTATTCTTTGACTTCCTTTTTGAAAAGATCTTGGGCGTGTTTCTGTCGTTACGTGCCCAAGCACGTGCCCTTTGCTGAGCTAGCAAAGCTCCGGGGCTGCAAAGGGATTCTGTGGGAAGATTGTGCCTCATTGTCAGTCACATCACAGACGCCGGCTACAACAAGCACACACAAAAATACACACAGCACACAAACGTGTACATATCAGAAACGTTCCAGCCAGGAGATTTTGGAGACTGAGGACATAATGAAAAACTGGTGTACCTGTAACCAGAATGTAATAGGGAAAAAGTGTGTATTTTGTGTAGCCAGAGTAGAACCCTCCTTGAGTGCTATTTTTGGTAGAAAGGCAGGGTACAAATGGAGTCAACACAGGGGCTTCCATGGCTCGGATCAGCAGTGACATGCCTTCGAATGTTGCCTGCTGCTGGGGACAACAGCTGCTGTCTCCATGTCTGGCTTGTGGGCTGCCCACTGAAGCATCTGAGTGGCCATGGGGAGACGTGATGCTGCGCTCGGCAGGCCTTTGGGCTGATCCAGCCGGACACATCTTCCCCTCTGATGAAACTTGGGTGCAGCACTGACATTCCTGTGCTCTGTAACTGCAATGACACTTTCCTCGTGCGAGTGCAGCCAGCGCGGGGGGATTGCCAGGAGCTTCGTCTCCGTCCTTCATGCTGTGTGCACGGTGGCAGGCCGCCCATATTTGGAACGAGACGGCAATGTTCCTCCCAGCCCAGCAAGGGATGAATGGAGGACAGTAAAATAGGGAGCCTGCAGTGCTGAATCAGACTGTCGGTCCATCGAACCCGAAATTGTCTGTTGTGACTTGCAGCGGCCCTGCAGCATTACCTGACATCCGGGGGTGGGGGTGAGGTGCTCTAGAGATGAAGCACACCTGTGGCTGTGCACCAGCAAGGATGCACCACTGATGTTTCCTCTCTGTGTGGCCAAGGTTACAGCAAGGAAGCATCATGTGCTTCAGTATTAAACACTTGATCCCATAGTTCCAAAACTGTTCTTCCATGACTTCTATGAGAAGGAACTTGGCTCCATTTTCCTCGTTTCCTGTAAAGTTGCAAGATGTATATGAGTGGTATTTCTTAAAATTGCTCAAATCAGGTTGAGTTGCCATATTTATCTAATTATATTTGTTTTCACAGCAAACAAGGATGAATGATTTGCATTCTTTGAATTTAGACACGTGGGTGTGGTCAGGACAGTAAGTTTTTCTTTTCTTTTCTCACTTTCCTGTGGAACATAATGTTTGTTAAATATATTGATAATTTAGCCCTGAATATTTTATAGTGGCCTTTTCCTTTCTCTTAACATAAGGAACAAAGATGTGGCATAGTAAGTGTATTACAGTAGCAAGCAGCATCATAACGTGCATTTCTCTGGACTGTGTGGTATCAGAACGCTTTTGTCACGAGTGCTGCTGCAGACTTCTCCAATCTGGTGTGGAAAGCAAAGGGAGTTCCCATGCAAATGAAGTACACCTTGGGGCTTTCATGCATCCTGTAGGTACCCAAGAAGTCCCATAGCAAAGCAAAACAATATAGGAAAATAAAGGGCTGCCCAGTCAGCCCCAACACTGACAAGCAGGCAGGCACATACTCCCCCTTGTGTTTCAGGTTGGGAGCTCGCTCCGTTGAGCTGCCCACTGACAAAGGCTCCAACCCAGGCTTGTCCTCCAGCCATTCCCTGCTTCTGGCACACGTGCAGAATGCCGTGAGCGAGCGCTCCGTAAGCAAATCATCTGACGACAGCCTCCCTCCATAAACATGCAGAACACCCAGCCCCATAATGGTGTTGCTTTCTTCTTCAGTTATGTGTGACTTTTCGTTGTCGCTCGCTTGCTTCCCCACTTAGAATTTGTACAAATGGAGAAAAACCAAGAGACAGATCCTGGCACACTTTGACGTCTCTAGCAGATGGCAAACTTTTCCTGTATGGTGGGCTGAGTTCAGACAATGTACCCTTAAGTAAGTAGCTTTCCTTCTTTTTTCCGTAACTATTGAGACTGCTGCGCAAATGAGAATGCAAGCTGTAACAGTTGGCATGATAAATGAGTGTTAATATTAGATTAAAATGGATGCCTAGTGAAATGATGGCATGACAGCAATGAAGAACGAACTCTGGAATGCCCTGTCATCCCCCTGACGCTGACCTCCCTCCAAGGCAAGGAGCGCTTTTCCTTCCTATATTTAAAAGGCTCGCAGAATTCCCTTTTCTCAGTCTGGATTTCTCGGTGTGGTGAACGCCTCCCTCCTGCTAGAAGGCAAGACTAAAGGACTGCTGCCTTTCCTGCTGTAAGAGGAGAGACCCCATCCATCTCTTGCGCCATCTTCCACAGAGCCTTTGAGTGCTGCAGTAAGCAGGGGAGCTGAGTGGGCAGCGGAGTGGCACGGCTCTGTGGATTCTGAGCTATCTGTGGCTGATGGATGCAAACACTGGCCCAGCATGCAGCTGCTGTGAACCTCCCTCTTGGGTGTAATCAGGAAAGGACTTGTAAGGAAACTGCTGAGCTTGTGCCCCTGTTAGACCAGTATTTGGTGCAGCTGCACTTAGAATATGGAGCACAGTGTGCACCTGAAGAAGGACACTGTTGTGTTGGAAGGAGGAGCGACTCCTCCGGGAGGAATGGTTACATCAGTTGGGACTGTTTAACTTGGAGGAAAAGCAAGTCGAAGGAGACGTTGTAAGAGTGGCATTACGCTGGGTGGAGAGGGGGACGTTTTCCCTCCCTCTCATCATACTAGAGCCCAAAGAGGGCATCCCGTGAAGATGCTTGGTGGGCAATCCAGAACACGTACGGGGAAGTACCTCTTCATGCAGGGCATAGTTACTCTTCGGAAGTGAGTGCCCCAGGAAGTGGTGGTGGCTACCAAACTGGATGCCTTTGAAGCGGGCCGGGCACATTCACGCGGGAGGAAGCCACTCTTGCGTTGCCTATATTGTCAGAGGCAGCATGCCAGCGTGCAGCCAGTCGCTGAGGAGCCTGGGCGGCTGGACTGGATGGACTGTTGCTCTGATCTAGCTGCGCTTCTTCAATGTTCTTCTGCACGGAGCTTCAAAGACAGAGAGAAAACAGACAGAACCAGCCCTGTCCTTCCCTCCATTCTGTCATCAGTCGCTGAGTGGAGGACTCGTTTGTCGAAAGTATTCCTCGGGGCCCGCCTGGCCTCCCTGGGCAGAGGTGAGGAAGCACAGGGCCGCTGCTCCCCGGGACTGCCCAGGCGCCTTGCTCCTGGCCTCTGCCATGGCTCCTGGGGGGGCCCCAGCATTAGCAGTAAGAGCAGCACCAGCAAACCCAGGCATAGCTGAGGCCTGACCTGGGCAACTCCCTCCATCTTGATCTGCCCCGTAGGGGTGATGGTGGATCTTTGGTGGATGCATCCTTTGGGTTTAGGTATGGCAGAGAGAGGGCATGGTAGCCACTGCTCCCCCACCCTGTTCTCGGGGTGCTGCCGCTGTGTATCCCTCTCCTGTGGGCTCTGTGCTCTGCTGACTGGGGATGGGAAGTCGGGCTTAACTGGGAAGTGCCTTGTCGTCAGGGCAGCCCCTCCCTCGGCTCTGGCTTCGGCATATCTCACTAGGTGGGGATCCGTGCCTTGCATCTGTGTGGTGCCCCACTGGGGAGGTGGAGCTGCCTGTGGTGCAGAATTCTCCTCCTCCTCCTCCTCCTCCTCCTCCCCCCTGTTGGGTCTGGACCAGCTGCATTTCCACTGGGTTGTGGCTAGAGTGGCTTTGTCTGCTGGTAGAGTTCTCACCCAAGTTTTGTATAGATATAGATTTGAGTTTTGAAGTACAGCTGGTTTCTCCCCTCACAGCAGGGAATGTAGCCCTCTTTTAACCCTGCCTCCTCCTGGTTCAGAAGGACACTTCGCATCTTCCCATCCAGAGTGAAATTACTCAGTATTTTTGTAAAGGGTGTGATTGTATCTACTTGGCTGATACAGTGGCTCTGACAGTTGAACAGAGAGGGGTGATTTTCAGTTTTTTCTGTAGTCCTCTGCATACCCCCAGAAACTTCAGTTCCCGGGTTGTAGTCCTGTGCACACTTTAACTTCATGGAATGTACTTCCAGTTCCTCGGAAGCACGTACATAGCCAAAGTGTGTGTACAATTGCATCGCCATGTTTATTTTGGGGAACCCCTTACAGCATGTACCATCTTATGAATTTTGGCGGAAAATATCTCATGACGTTTTTTCTAGCAGTGTTATTCTGAGTTTTGGGTGGTTTCTAGTTTTGGCCCAATATGAGGCAGACATTTTGAAGATGCCACGGTTGTAAAGCAGGGGCCCTCAAACTTTTTGAACAGGGGGCCAGTTGAAAGGCTGCAGTGACAGTCACGGGCCGGCGAGGTGGGGGTGCCTGGGGGTGCGGGCCGGTGAGGTGCCGTCGGGCGCGCACGAGACGCCATCGGGCGCGCGCAGCAGTGGCTCGCTCGCTTGGAGATCTCCCAGCGAGTCCAAAACCATCTTGGAGTGAGCAGGCCACCCCTCCCCGCCCGTGCAGCAAGTGCGCGCGCGGGCGGCGAATGGTGGCATGGGCCGGATGGATGGCCATGGTGGGCCGGATCCATCCCACGGGCTGTAGTTTGAGGACCCATGTTCTAAAGAGTCCCTCGAGCCTACTTTCTTGTCTGCCCCTGCAAGAAAGAAGCCCCGAACCTTTCACAGGCAACGTTTTCAACAGCCAAAAGGAAAAATGTATCTGGAAGAAGAGAAATGATTGCTTGCTTCTAATAATTGCTTAGCTCACTCACAAGCTCTATGGAGGAGCGGAATGTTGGTGGAACTTAGATGTCCTGATCCAAAGAACCGTGCCACTCGTCCCATGAGTTCAGAGAGGGTTTGGGCCTCTTTGTTCTTTGCGGCCACACCTGCAGCCACACGGCAAACCTCTCTGAAACATAAGGCGAGTTGCAAAAGCAGCGGGTCGTGGCATGGCACTCGCTCAAGAGCAAGGGTCGGAGCCCCGCTGGGCGTGCCCGGGCTGCCTTTGGGGTCCTGGCTAGGGGGACCCCAGCTTTTCATGCCCTTAGCAGTTATTTCGCATTGAAGAAGCAGAAGTACTCTTTACATGGTTACTTATCAACTATGTTTTGAGAAAGAAACAATCTTAATCTGTGCAACTTTCTTTTCAGGTGATGGTTGGATGTATGGTGTTGCAACAAATGAATGGAAGCAACTTGCATACTTGCCACAGAGCAGACCTAGGTAGGACGAGCCAGTCGGCCGTTGCTGACGCTGAGGGAAGTATGACTAGATCAGCAGGGTGCCATGTTCTGCATCGGAAATCTAATGGTGCCCGCAGAACGGCACGCCTGTTTAGGCAGAGATGCTCCTTGCTTTCCACCAGCTCGCCCCCTCCCCTGCACCAGCCGCTGCCCTGATGCCTCCTCAGGGGCCGTTCCGGGGACCCCTGACCCTCAGGAGTGGCTTTGCGGAGGCTGTTACATGCAGTGCAAAGCTGCCCTCCCCTGTGCTGTGCCCTCCAGGTGTGTTGCACTGTATCACGGGGTTTTGATGACACTGGCTGGAAGTTATGGGAGTCGCATCTGGAGAGCACCAGATTTTGGAAGGCTAAATAATAGAAGTCTGTTAAAAGTTCATAGGTCTGAACCAGTGTCTTCTTTTAAAAATTGCTCACATTTTTAATCTTGTGTTTTCAAATAAGTTTATCCTGCTTCTCTAATGGAACCAGTAATTAACTTTTAAATGTTTTTGAAATGCTACTGAAGAGGAATAAGTAATGTAACTTTGGATAATTTTAGGATTTGAATAACATTTGGCTGCATTTAGATCTGTTAAAAACCTAAAGTCAATGGATATATGTTGAATGCTCAAGTTCCCATCGTAACATGTTTAATTAGAAGGATGATTGAGTTCAGCCCAAACTGCTTTCTGGTAATTTGAACGACTGTTAAATCCTGATTGAAAGCAACTTCTCTGTGTGTGAGAATGCACATGGTGCTGAAGGAGCGAGGCTGCATACACATTCTTTTGCCTGTCTGTATTTATAGACTGCCATATTAAAAAAAGTCCTCTTGGTTGTTCACAAAATAAGAGCACCGGATTAAAAATAATAATACAGAATACAATACTAAAACACCCCCAAACAAAATAAAAACAGATAAAGACATGTATGCAGAAGAACGTGAGATGTATCATTGTATGTGACTGTGGCATCACTGAATGCTGGACAGGTGTTGTCAGGGGGATGGATATAACCTCACTCCTGCACCTCCTGCTCCCTCCAGACACACAGAAGTTGCCCCCTGCCAATAACAAGGGTTGTTTTTCACCTGCATCTCCAAACATAAGGCAAGAGATGTGTGCAAAGTCTGGCAGATCACTCTGGGGAGGAATAGCCATCCCCTGAGCCCCTCCCTGCCCAGGCGACATTCTTGGGAAACTGGTCCCTGATGGACTGGCAGACAGCGTGTTCCAGGGGATCGAAGGTCTCCTTTTCTAGTAAAGAGCATTCCTCTTTTACTTGTGGGTTTCATGGAATGGGCTGGACCTAGAGAAAGTTGGCTGCAGAACAAGAAGTCCCAGGGCTTCTAGCTGTGGCCTCCTAGGCACATTTGCTTCAAAAGACGTTCCACTGAATTCCCAGAGCCACAGGGCTGAGTCACACGCGCTGGCCTGTCACCTTTATATAAAATATAAATGTCCATGTGTGCCCGCCCGCCTCTTGAGATCAGCGGGAGAGGCCCTTCTCCAGGAACCCTCCATGAAGGATATTAGGAGGGTGAGTACCCGTAGGAGGGCCTTCTCCGTGGTGGCGCCCAGTCTATGGTATGCACTCCCCAGAGAGGTCTGCCTGGCGCCGAAACACAAATAACGACGGTAGAGTACCCGGAGAAGGCCTTTCTCTGAGGTGGCGCCCCATCTGTGGAATGCGCTCCCCAGAGCGGTCCACCTGGTGCCGTCGTTATTTGTTTTTCGGTGCCAGGCCAAGACCTTTTTATTTAAACGTCATTTTCATTGCTGATATCATTTATTTATTTTACATCTTTGGCCAGGACGTCTCCAATTATATTGTTTCTATATTGTTATTATTTATTTATTGTTGTGAGCCACCCCGAGGCTTCGGTGAATGGGGCGGCATAGAAGCTTTCTAAATAAATAAATAAAGTAACATTTATACCATCAACTGTCCCTGGGTTTTAGGGCAGAGACAAAAGGCTGGCTCCAGTGTTGCAGGAGTGGCCTTCCACCTGCCTAATGGAACTTCCGCTGTTCTCCTTCCTCCCGGCACAGCCCCCTTCCCACCTCCAGCAGCTGCTCTGGAGCGACAATGGGGAGGGAACATCCATTCCGCCAGTGGTTTTTCTTCTGCCTGCAGATGGTTCGGCTTGGATGCAATCCAGTATTCCCAATTTCTTAACTATGGCTCTTAAAAGAAGACTTGGAGCTGATACTTTCCTTTCCCTTCCCTCCTGCTTTCTCCAACACAAATCCACCTCGTCCTGATCAGGGCCACTAGCTTTCCCTGTGGTGTCAGAAGTGAGCTGGGTGGCTGTCGGGGAGAGACCCCCTCAGTGGTGGCACCCCATTGTGGAACGCCCTCCCCAGAATGATTTGCCAGGCACCGGTCTCCTAGTGCTCTCAGCGCCACCCACAGACTTGACTATTTTCTTGGGCTTTCAAAAGAGTTTTAATCCTGCTGATTATTTGTGCTGCTTTTATGATTGTGTGGGGTTCTCTGTTGCATTCACATTGTCATTGTTTCACACTTTTAAAATACTTCCTAGAAACGAAGAGTGGTCTACACTCTTACACTCCGTAACTAACTGTCCAAGCTAGCCTCCTTATACCTCAAGCTTTGCAGCTGTATGTGCGAGTGGCATCCCTGCAGAAATAGCGTACCTGGAGTGATGCTTGTGAAACAGGCCTTTGGCCTTGGGCGCTGTGAGCCATCAGGTCACATCCCCAGTGAGAAACACCCTGTGTGGCCTCATCTCCTGTCCAAGTGGAATACTGATGCCCAGGGGGGTGGGGTTGGCCTGGTTGGTGGCAGCCCGCCTTTCCCTTGGCTGCACCCTGCCTTTGCTCTGTTGATCGTGATCTGGCTCCCACTTCTCTTGCAATATTGGCACTGCCTATTCAGCTTTTCTCCAGAGGCACTACTTAGTAAGCGTTCCAAAGAATACGTTAGAGTTGAGTGTTAACTCCGAAATGTTTCCATTATAACAGGTACTATCATTCCAGATGGAGGTGTTGTTTAAAAAGATGATGTTCATTTAGCTGATTAATGATGCAAATAACGTGCTTTATTAGAATGTCTAGGTGCTAAGTTAGAGCAGCTGTGAGAGGACATAAGCTCTGTCAGTCTGTAGAAAAAGCCTCAGGTTTCAAGCTAGGAGTCAAGGCAGGAAAGGCTTTTCCGTGTTCTGCGATGATCCAGTCCAGGCCAGAGTTTTCCTAATGCAGATAAGACAGAGGCAGACCTATCAACAGGTATGAGGAAGAGAACAGGTGGGATACAGTTTAGTGTAAGGAGAACAGTGCATGATTACTGAAATGAACAACATAAGAAGTGCTCTTTAGTGATGCAGTAGCTAAATAAACAAAAGGGGCCAAATTCCTGGTGACCGAAGTGCGTTATACGCTGGGTCCGTTAATTCCAAAAGTAAAACCGAGGTCAGTGCAGTGTGCAGCGAACCTCTCCTAGCAAAGTATCGGTGCAAACCTGTATGGATTGGTTGTATTTTGTGTCTGTGCATACCCGTTTGTTTATTTTGTGCTAGTGTGCACAAAAAGAAACCTTCGCTAGAGCTTGATTTTGGAAAATGCGACCTTCATGGGGAAACCACTCTTGGCCACTTCATCCGGCCGAGTGATGAAGAATCAAGGCCCTTGCTTTCTTTCTCCCTCCCCCATGTTGCGGAGGGGGGGCTCGCGCTGCTTGTGGAAAGCTGCTGCCTGAGCAAAATGAGGAAACTCTCTTCACACAGTGGTTTCCCCACAAAGGGCGGGGGGTCGTTGTACTATTTAAGCAAATTCCATCTGTGTGCTTGATTCCTTGACCCCAGCTGAGAATCGGGCCTGTGTAGCACAGCTGGGCATCCTGAACTGGCCGCTTTTGGCCAAGAATAGCTGGCTGCAGAGTCCACGTGGCTGCCTGCAGCGGGCCTGGGAAGACCATATGGGGAGGGGGAGGCGCCCTTCTTGTCCTGAGAAATTTCCTCAGCGATCAGTGCATGCTCTGCCCCACAGGGGACTGTTTTACTGCTTCGGCTTGGCTTCGGCCCGCGTGGTTCTGAACGGGAGCCGAGATCCGCAAACAGCCCCAACAGTCCTTCAGGGGAGCCAGGTGCTGCATGGTTGCCACGCTCACCCTGAAGGTCTGAACATTCTTACTCTCGGTATCCGTGCTAACCGTTTCAGGACCAAATTGGGTGACCTTTGGACCGTGTATATCACGCAAAAGAGACGTTCAAGTTCATGATAAGACCAAGTTCATGCTTGTCACCACAGCCACTGAAAGTCGAATGCGCTGAAGGAGTCTGTTTTCTTAAAGCAGAACAGCCATTTGGGTTGCTTTGACTCCTACTTAAATCTTTCTCACTAATCCTGGATTCCATAATTGCAAGGATCAATGTAGTAACGTTCCAGTTACATTGTTAATCTGTTACACATTTCAGTTTATCAAAACTGTAAATCCACTCTTGGTAAGTAGTCAAAGGCCCAAAAGATTTAAAATTTTTGATTCGTGGCTACTGAGGTCAAAATACCCTTAAAATCCATTTGAGTGGACTAGTTTGTTAATTTGGGATACAATCCTATGCATGTTGAGACAGAAAAAGAGCCTGCAACTCCCAGCATCCCCCACAAGTTTAGAAGGGCAACGCGGCGAGTCATAGAATCATTTTCTGTCTAAACATGCATAGGATTGCAACCACATATACTTAGAAGCAGTTACTGTACTTAAGCGCTAGAGATTAAGGGGGAAGTCCCAGATCAGGGATGTGATGGCTCCTTCTCTACCCTGGAGCCCTGGAGCCATTTGAAAACTTGTTTAAGTCTGCACTTACCTGAGAATTCATTCTAACTATCATATGTTTTTAGGTTGTGGCATACAGCCTGCCTTGGTAAAGAAGGTGAAGTGATGGTTTTTGGAGGGAGTAAAGATGACTTGCATTTCCTGGATACGGTCAGTGAATGTCATACCTGTTAAATGACATAATCACTACTGATACATCTTGTAATTAAAATACAAATGAATGATGTTTATTTTTATGGCAGAGGGTTCAGGCAGCCAAAATGAGATCATTCGAGAGCTCTTTTCTTCTGACTAAGCTCCCTCAAATCCTGTTTTGCTCACCACCAAATGCAGCAGAATGTCTCCGTGTGTGATTGTCACTCATCCCCATCTCTTTGCAGAGTTCTGGGTTTGTCCTACGTGGGGGTGATTTCCCTGTAGGAAAGGCATAATGTGTAACATGGTGGGCAATGCCAGGGGGGCATCCTTGCTTATCCTAAAACAATTTTAAGCAAAGGTTTTGCAAGGACTCAGCAAGGTCCCTCTTCAGGGTGGGTGGGGAAACGTTCTAGCCAGCTTGGATTATCATGGACAGCTGGACTCGCCATTTTAAGGAAACTGCCCACCCATGGTAATTAAAGGAACCACTGCCCTCGCCTGTGTGTCCCACTACCCTCACCATATGGTTGACAGGAACAAAGTGCAAAGGTTGTAACTGCAAAGGCTGTAATGCACAGGATGTGGAACCCCCTTGCTTCAGGAGATCTAACTTGCCCCATCTTCCGTGGCCTTTTGAATAAATCTGTGTTGATATCTTATTAAATCCAGCGGAGGAAGTCTGCAGGTTTGTGGCAGTCCCCAGCAGTGCCGCTGCCTTAGGCTATTTCCACGGGGCCAGCAGGACCCACCTCTCCCGCAGCAAGGAGCTGGCATTGCCCAGAGCAAGCAGAAGGCCCGTTTCTAGAGCAGGCCAGGCCTGCGGATCGCCCTGCTGCTTCCTTCCAGGAACGAGTGCCTTGGCCAGTTTCTCTGTTGCACAGCTGGGGGGTCCCACCAGAGCCCGACAGTGACATGAGATGTCATTGCTGCGACACTGCGTGCTGTCGCCTGTACCTCTGAGGCGGTGCATTTGATGAAAACGTCACTAGAAATGGCCATGGGCTGGAAGCGAATCAGTCAACTGAGGCTCACCTTGAGGGTACTGATGGCAGGTGTTTAAGATTCTGGGACATGATGGTCTGACTGAGGTTGCCCTGCCCCTTCCACAGTGGGCCCGGCGCCTGGGCCTCGCTCTGGCTGTCCGAGTTTCCATGATGCAAAGAGCCTCTGACCAGCTTAAGCTGGTATGATAATTGCAGTCCGTGGTATTCCACACTCTGGCTCTTCAGGAATGTAGCATAACTGGTTCAGAATAAGATTGCAGGAATGTTGACGGTGGCACTTGAGCCCGAAAGTGCATTGCCAGCATATTTCTGAGCCCTATTCAAAGTCGAGAAGACCTTCAGGACTGCCCTCCTCTCCTGTGAATCCACCTGACTTTTGAGACAATCTTGAGGGCCCAAAGGTGAGTTTGGTGGCTGTTGAGGAATGGGTCTCCTCTCCGGCACATCTCTTGAATATCCTCCTGAAACCAATCAGAGCGATGTTTTCATTGCTATAGGTACTAAAATAAACTCTCTTGTTTTATTGGTTCCGTTTTTGGTGTTTTGTCCTAGCGTTTTTATCGACTCACTGCTGCATGGTTGGTGTGATGGATTTTTCCGTTTGATATGAAGAGGCATCCAAAACTGGGTTAACTCAACCCCTGTTGCCCAGAGAGGCAAAGATCATACGACCTAAATGTTTGCCTTTAGGCTGGGTGCTGCTAAGCTTCACCAAGTTCTTTTCCCAGCCTTTGCCAATGTTTTGCTTTGGCTTCCAGATGCTTTTGTTCCCTTACCCACCTCTGATCTATCTGAATGGTCAGTGACCATTTCACTAAGATGCTCTTCCTCAAGGTGGCTTGCGGGTGCCAATCTCACCCACTCCAAGAATACGTGTAGGAAAGGCACTCCTCACCATGGACCACCTGTGCCCATTTCATTGCCAAAAGCAGTACTCTGTATTGATTGGTGGGATCACAGAGTAGCAGAGGTGGAAGGGGCCAAGGATGTCCTTGGGTCCAGCCCCCTGCTGTTGCAGGTCACCAGTTTACACCATCCCACTGAGAAGGCTGTCCAGTTCCTTTTTGAACGTCTCTGGTGCGGGAGAGACATGACCTCTCTAGGCAACTGGTTCCACTGTTGCATGGCACCGTCTTCCACAGGCCCCAGAAGCTGCACGTTGAAAGCCTGTATTGCCGCAGTACCTGCCTAAACAGCTCCTCCTCGCAAGGCAGTCGCCACACGTGAGCCCTCCTTCCGCGGCCCATGTGAGTGCTTTCCCTGCTCAAGCCTGAACGAGGCCCACCGGGCGAAGGGATTCACCTCACTCTGTCCTGTGGACTGCACGGTACTCGGCCTCTAGCTCAGCCAAATTTCGGAACAGGGCAAAGTCCTGCAGCACCAGGCCTGAAAGCAGGAAATGAGGTCACAGATCCCTGCCCACTGGGGCAATGGGGTCACTAAGCTTCTGGATGCTTCCGTCACACCAAACCAGATTGAACCTTCCCGGGAAGTGGCCAAGGGTTGGTTGTCTTGGGTTGCTTATTTTAATCAATTGTTGGTGTGGTGCTTTGTATTGCTGTAAATCGCTTTGAATACTTTTACAGAAAATCAGCCTGTAACTATTTAAAATAAATGCCTGTGTTCTTGCCCAGGGACACTGCAGTGACTTGCTGATTTTCCAGACACAGCCGTACTCGCTTTTCAGGTAATGGAAGTCTGGCCAGGCAGGGGTGCAGCGCCTTAGGCCCAGAGGCCAAATCCAGCCTGTGTGGTGCCCCTGCAAGCCAGGTTCCCTTCCTAGATGCCCTTTCCCTGTCCCCCAGTTACCAAATATTGGGTGGTTTCCCGGTCTTGGGGCATCTCTCCCTTTGCATTCTGAAAGGCTGCAGTGTAAGGCTCAGTGTATCGGCAGGTGCGGACCCTCCCCTTTTGTCCGTCTTCTCTGCCATCCCTGGAACGCGGCTCCGGGAACACCGCTCCAAAGGAATCTGGCCCTGGGGTGGGAGAGGTTAGGAAGCCCTGCTGTAATGCCTCCAGCAGAGGACAGCGGAGGACGTGGTTTTTACTGGCAGCTTTATTCCAAGCCGTGAAATGGGAAGTGCCTGGACCAGAGGGCTGCCTGCAGGGCCCCCGCACACCCTGAGCTCTGCAGGTGCAGGGGCTGCCCAGTTCTCTGTGGGAGCCGGAGAATGCTTGGACGTTCCCCAGTTGGAAAGGAGGCGGGGCTGGTCCTGCCGCTCTGAAGCTCAGCAGAACGTGGGACCGGGCCGAGGGGAGGTCTTCAGAGTTCTGTGGGACTTGAATCCACTGAAATGTTGCCATTGCGTATCTGCCGGGTTCAGTCTTGGAACCATGAACAAAACACAACGTGACCCTGACGTGTCCAGAGCACTGCAGGCACACGGCGCGGTAGTCCTTGCCACAGCCTTGTGTTCCCCCCTTCCCGCAGCTGAATTGGAGGGTGAGGCCGAGGTGGGCTGCACTCAGAGACTGCCCTCGTCTTTATGACCAGGCCAGTGCCAGTTCCAAGCCCCTCGTTTGTGAGGCCTGCGTAGCGCACAGCTTGTGAAACAGGTCACACCACCTGGGGCTTGCAGCCACTTGGAAGCCACAGACGGCTGACAAGACCCGTGTGTGACCGTTGCTGCTCCTCACAACATGAGGTGGCTGCTGAGTAGAGAGGAACCGAGCAGATGGGAAGCCATCGGCTAAGCAGCAGTTCTGCTCAGACTCTCGGGAGCTCAAGCGTAGTGTGGATTCTCAGCGATGAGGAGCCAAGCCTTGGTCTGGGCTGAAGTGTCAGTGGAACAATATGAACTTGCCCAAAGCTGCATAGTCCATTTTTTCCCCTTTATTTATTTAATGTCTGTACTGCCCAATAGCCAGAGCTCTTGGCTGACGGATGTGAGAAGAAATTGTGACGGTGCTTTGGGTGCACATCAGCCAAAGCACGTCATTGCTTTGGTTGAAATAGTTTGCTCTGTGCAGTCCTTTTTTCCTTCAACACCTTTTCATTTCAGCATTATTTCTTTCAGACTGAGCCTCGATTGCATTGCTAAAAACACTGTTCTCTTGGAGAGCCAAATTTCCTGGTTACCATCCAGACTCTTGGAGGAAGCTGCCGATAAAATAACTTTCTGGGCTGCCGTGAACTATCGCCAAGAAAAGAAAGCCAAAGAGGAAGGGCAGGAGCAGATCCAGGTCTCCTAGCAACCCTCCCATGTGGGCACATGACACGGAGCACCAACTGTCGCTAGAAATCAATTAGAAATATTGCAGGTCAGCTGTTTGATCAACTGAGTATCTAAGGTTCATTCAGGTTGGGAGAATTAGAAATTCGCTGGTTTCCTGATGCATAAGAAACAGTTGCAGATGTTTATCAGTGGTGCACCGGCTTCACTTTGGAGCTTTGGCAGTTAATTACTTTTATTCAGTACACTGAGCCAGCCAGTTGATCCAGTTATTATTAAAATTAAATTAATGAGGCTTCAGACAGTCAAGATTGATTAAGGCACATTTTTCCGTATTGCGACACTTTTGCCATTGTCTGAAAACTCAAGTTTCTTTAATATAATCACAGCCTAAATGGATAACACTGTAAAGGGGATTGAAGATAGTACAGGCTGTTAAGACCCTGCTATACAAACACTATACAAATACTGCTACACAAGTACAAGTTGCACTGTGTTAAATATTTTTACTGTGCATTTTCAAAATGCTTTCACTGAACATTGATTGACTGTAATTAATCATTGTTTTGAAAAAGTTATACATAGCACCTGTTGGATATGTAAAGTTTGTATTGAACTTTGTTGAAAATATTTTGTTTATTTATTGTAAATGTATTTATAAAATACTATTTTCCTATCTGTTTTATGCATTTAGTTAATAAGGATCTTGTCATTAACATTTCTTCACTTTGAATAGAATGTTACTGTGAGCCGCTTTTATTCACTTGCCTATTTGAGCAGAGGGCTTGAAAAAACTACTTGTTCAGAAGTTCTGCTCTTATCACAATAATCACAAAGCGCATATACTTTAAGGAAATTAAGGAGGGGGCTTCAGCCATAGGATGTTATTTTATATCTCAGCATGAATGTTAAGCTGTGTTTTCTTTTAAGGAGACATTTGATACCAGCAGTTAATTTCTGTTGCGGAAGAGGCAATGCCAGGTTTGTTTGGTTTTTTTTTTTTGGTTTTTTGGTATAAATGGCCTTTGCTCTCTGCCAGAAATGTAAGCTAAAATGGGGAAGGCAGGTCACCTCCATCCCTCAGACTGATTGTGTAACTTACCAAACAAAGGGGCCTGTCACAGCCATCGGTCTTGCACGTCCTGGGGTGCAAGACTATGCCTGCTCAGGCAAAACACAGTTCTACAATTCCCAGCATTCCCCAGACCAAACGGCTGCCTGGGGCATGCTGGGAGTTGTAGAACTCTTCGTCTAAACAGGCAAAGGCACCATTAAGGAGCTAAATGTAAATTACTGAGAATATTAATCTTGCATTGAATTCAGTGGGTTAAGCGCTTGGCTCTGTTTAGCAGTTTCCGTGATGTTGCGCACGGAGGGGAGGCCAGCTGCTTCGGGGGCAATGGCACATTGTACCTTAAAAACACTGTAAGGAGATGCCTGCACCACGCCGCGTTTTCTCACAGGATCCGCCCCAGCTCTGCCTCCTCCCAAGCTAATCTGCTTGGCATCAGTGCAGCAAAGGTGCCGCAGCCCTGGAGTGAATCTGAAGTCTTGGCCGGCGCAGCAAACACTTCCCTTTTCTGTAGCGCTGTTCAAGTGCCAAGGTGGCCATCCCTTCGTTTTCTGGAAAGTCCACCCTGTCTTTAACAACTGCCCGGCTAAGCTGAAATACAGAAGCAATGCTTTCCCACCTGCTGATGTAGCGAAGGGAGCTGGCGCTCCTCGTGCGCCTTCTAACGGTGACAATTTGGCACCAGCCCTTGTGGGATAGAAGTCCTTTCTTCCATCACTCAAACTGCTCTGACTGTATATGAACATTTCCTCTCCCGCTCCAGGGTTTTTTTAATTGGAGTCCTAAGACAAGGTCCTGTGATTCACAAATGCAGGTTTTTCAAAAGGAAGTCACGGATGTGAATGCTCAAAAGGCCCAGCTTTCAGGATAAAAACAGCCTTCAGAATGGACACAGGCACCACTGGTTTTGGAGGATGTTGCGAAACATCCAGTTCTTACATTATGCTTCTCTGTATGTGCAGGACGCTCAGGCTTGCTGGGTATACCAAGAATGAAGGCGTGCTTCCGGAAGTGACATAAGTAAAGCGACAGTCTGCTGGGAGGGCCTCCTGTGCGAGCCCCCGGAGACTGCAGGGGTGCAGAGGAATGTTTTTGAGCGGTTCCCATGCATTTCAGGTGGGGTGTGAGCAGAAGAACATTTTTGGTGGAATGTGGCCAGTCTTTAGTAGTGATGGCCATGGAGAGCTGCAGAATCCGAAATCTTTGTGCTCGGATTGGTGTGAGAATTACCTTTGACTTCTGCATCAAACCAAAGAAACAATGATTGAATTGTTGCCATAATATAAAATCCTAACAAGGACAAAGTCAGAGTACTTGACTCCAAAGTTCACTAGCAAGATTTTGGTAGGTATTCCATACCTGAGGTAGCAAATTCTGATAAGGAAGTGAAGTATTCATTAAGTTTCTCACATTGAAATTGTGCTCAAAACCGGCTCCAAAAGTGCCTTCACCACCTCACTGTTTGATCCACGTTCTACAATGCCTGCCAGACGCCTGTGTGACTTTTGTGTCCGTTTTTCAATATGGAAGTAAAACTCTTTAAATTTTGACTGTCTTGCCTGTATTTTCTTAAGCAAATAAAGTTTGCTCTCCGGGGTACAATCCTTATGTTGCCAAAATAGCACCATTCACAGATGAGAGAGAGATGTAGAAGTATATGTAGGTGATAGACGTAAAGTAAGAGGAACCTAAGGGGAGAATTTGCTAAAAGCCCAGTTGAGCCATTGGTGGCTAGAGAACACTGCATGTTTATTGGGGAAGGACAGAAGAACTGGGGGAGGGAGGGCTTTCTCAGCGGTGGCGCCTAAGTTATGGAATGCGCTCCTTAGAGAGGTCCGCCTGGCGCCGTCGTTATTTGCTTTTCGGCGCCAGGCGAAGACCTTTTTATTTAAGCGGTATTTTAACTGTTAATATTATTTGATCTTATCTGGCCAGGGCGGCTTATTTTATATTGTATTTTTTGGATTTTTAATGTTTATATGTGTTGCGATCTATTTTATAATTGCTTTTATTTATTGTTTGTATGCCGCCCCATTCGCCGAAGCCTCGGGGCGGCTTACAAACAATAAAT